GGGTGGTGGACTTCGAGGACCTGAATGCTCGGTGATGCTCTTGCTCAAAACCTCCTTCCTCCCTGAGAACCGGACTTCAAGCAGCGTTCTGGGGGAGCTCGCAGCTGGAACGTCGCCCCGAGGAACGTCTGGAGGGGGTTCAGGGCAAGGAGCGCGTCTGCCGGAGGAGAAGCGATGGCTCGGCCGGGAGTGGGAATGCGGTTGGAGGGAGCCGTGTTCTGCAGGTGCTGAAGGGCGCCCGTGGCAGGGAGTGGGCAAGGCAGTGATGGATTAACGCGATAATTAATCTTTCGGGATTAATGTTCCTCTTTGGAGGACTGGAGGGAGCGTGCCGGTGGAGCGGCAGGAGCGGGGAGGCTGGGCCAGTCCCACCTTTCAGTGGTTTATAGGCCCAAATGGAGCAGTTTTGTCCCATGTTCCTGGGGTTGGGTGTAAGGCTGGAGCCCAGATCTCAGCAGGCCTGGGTGGTCCCTGAGACCTGGGAACAAGGCTTATAATATAAATATAATTTATATTTTAAATTAAATATAAATATAATTTAAAAATAAATTATAATTTAAATTAAATATAAATAGCGAGAAAGAAGCTGATTTTTTTTCCACTCTTTTTAAGGTCCCTTTTATGTCTTCTTTTTCTCCCATCCATCTTACATTGAAAGGTGGTGCAAAATTCCCCACATTCACTGATTGCATCAGCTCGTTATTAATAGTAGCTGGATTTTATTGCTGGATCCCCTCGATCTGGGGATTCCCAGGCCACGCGCCGCGTACGGTTTCCTCCCGGTGACATTTAGCTGAGTGTTCCTCCTCGCGCCGTGACAGATGGGGGATGCTCAGCTGCTGCCAGGCTGAGCGGATCCATATTAATTTTTCATTTGCTGGCCGGGTGCTGGAGCAGCACAGATGGGCGATGGCCCGTTGGTCACTCCCGGTCCGTGCTGGTGTCCAGCTGCTCTGCACTTGATATATGAGTGGACAGAGCGGACGCCGGAGCCTTCGGCTCGCACCACCCGGGGTGGAGGTTGTTTCTGCTGGGGGTGGGGAGAGGGCACGGTGGGAGTTAGCCTAAATCCTTTTAACATATGTACATTGACCCTGCTCTGATTGCAATACCATCCTTCGCTTTGTCGGCACCGGTTAGGAGGGGACGGAGAATGTGGCGGACAAAGAAAAGCAGCTCCCCGGTGGATTTGCCAAACAACCCAAATTTACCTTGGGAAAACGTGATGTTTGCGCGCGGGCATCGGGCCAAGAAATGGGCTGCCCGGCCTCGGTCTGCAGGGGAGGGCTGGGGGATTGAAACGTCTCACCCTTGGCAAATGCTGCCAGGCACCGTGCTTGGGCTCTATCACGTCCCAGTGTGGCTTTGTGCTCTCGTCACCCCGGTCCTGGCTTTGGGACCAGCTCTGCCACCGGCCCAACTCGCTGCCAGGCTGTTTTGCCTATTCCGGGCCCGTCATGTAGGGATTCACTAGAGGTGACTGGTATCTACCTTAAATGTGTGTATCAACATGCAGAAATGTTGCTAAAATCTACAGCATTAATTCTGAAGTGTTTCAGTTACATTGCCGCAAGCCTCCTGTCCACAGTGAGTGTAAATGGAGTATCTACATGAGTTATAATTCTGATTTATAGCCGTGATTTGACTTGCGGTAATGCCATTGCACTTTGCCCACGCTGCTCTTAGGAGCAGGGATGAACCCCGGCCAGGACAAGCTCCTGGCAGCAGAAGCTGAAAAGATCATCAGGAAATGCCTCATTTAAAACCAGAAAAAGTCATTCCCTTGCCTCCTGTTCACCGGGCAGACGTGGAAAAATCTGTTCTCTCCTCCTGCACTTTTTTTCCCAGCTTTATCCTTGAAGACATCGCTGCGGCTGCTGCAAGACCTGCAGCATCTTTGCATGGGGGCAAAAACCTCTTGCAAGTGCAAGGGCAGCGGCGAAGCTGTCGGTGCAGGAGTTGTGTTGATGTGAGGCTGCGTTCCTGCTGCGGGTGCTCGGGCCAGGTCCTTGTCTGGACCCACCTTCAGGTGCTGGGAGCAAAATCCAGCACAGAAGATCCCTCACGCACAACGTCCCTGATGTGGGGAGTCTCGGTGAAGGCTGGGCTGTGAAACAGGGCTCCCAGCATCCAGGTTTGCTCCCTTTGGGCCCCAAGTTTGCACATCAGAGAATTAAAAACCTGGGAATTGGGGCAGCCCCTGTAACTGGGATGGGCTCTCCCTGCCTGGGAAGCCGATCGCATCGGGCCGCGCTGCTGCGGGGTGATGGTGGGGATAATGGAACTGCTCAACGGCTTTCGAAAAAGGCATAAATCCTCCAAGCTGGCAGCTCTGCAGAAAAAGGAGCGTTTAAAGCAGCAAGACGGCGGCGGTACGAGCAAAGCAGCGCGGAGGCGGCTCCTCGGCTCGTCCCTGCCCCGGGAGCCGAAGGGCGGCAGCGGCAGCAACGTCCCCGGGGGCCGGGATGCTGCTGCCAGGGGACAGCGAGACCCATCCAGCGCTGGCACGGCGGGGTCACCTCCTGCGGGGCCGGTCCCTCTTCCCGGGGTGCTCGGGGGAGTTCGGCTGGATTTAAACCCTGGCTTTAGTGCACCCCCAGCTTGAACGTGTTCGCTCTGGCGCGCTCCCTCTCCTCCTTTGCCCTCCAAATCTATTCGAGCCCTCTCCCAATCCCCCTAGGGATTGCTGGATTGCTGCCGCCATCAGCGCACGCCGCCTGCGGGTCACCTCCGTCTTCGCCTGCGTGGGGTTTGCCGTGAGTTTTGATACACCGGCATTAGTGATGGGGCTGGGACGCGAGCGTATAAAAATACATCTGTGTCCATGTGTGGGTGCGTACGTGGTAGGCTCGGCGCACGAGGGCTGTGGGTGAGGTCTCTGGGCTCCAACAAAGGCGGCCCACGCCGGGATGCTGCTTGGGGCAGCCCCACATCATCCCCCCCCCCGCCCCCCAACCTCGTGGCTGCGCCTGAAATCCCCCGGCGAGAGCTTTTCCCGAGGAGGGGGGGGTGGGGGGGGGGGTGGCGGGAGGGAGCGCACCCCATCCCCAACGCCGAGCCGTTGGACACCCTCGGCGGTGCGCCCCGCTAAAAAGCCCCCGAACAAAAGCCCAGTTCAGAGCCGCTGCTGAATAGATTAACAAGATTTCCATAATTAGGGCAGGCGGGAACAATAGGATTCTCCCCTGCCCAGCCCCCCCTGCCCGCCTTTGTCTTGCACTGGGGATAATGGGCAGCAGCGAGGGTGGGAACCGGCCCGGCCATTTGGTCACTGGACAGTAATTTTCTCACACTGCCAAGGGGAGCATTGAAACATCTGTCCCGCTCCGCCGCCTCATTCACGTCCCATTTGAACCCCCTGACAACTTCTCCCAGCCCGCCAGCCCTCCCTCCCCCTCCCCCTGGTTTTCCCGGGTGCGACCGGGCTTCCCGGGGGGGGGGGGGTTTGGCTTTTCTTCTCCCAAATGTCTTAAAGGGGGTTTGGATGGAGGCGGGTTTGCTTCTCAGTCCTTCCGCGCTTGGGTTCGTTTCGCCCGAGTTTGTGCAAACCTGTGCCGGTGCATCCTCACCCCCCCCACCCCCCCCAGCCCCAACCCCTTTTCTCCGCCGTTTGGCACAGGACCGGGGGGTGTCCTCGGGGTGCATCGTCCTCGGGAATGCAGGAGAAAATGGCTGTAGAGTTGGTTTGCGGGGGGTGAGCGTGTCCGTGCCGCCGTCGAGGGCGGCTGCACCCCGGTTTAAGAAACAGCCCGGAATTGCCGCTGGGATTTGCCGGTCCTGGTGGTGGCACCTTGTTCCTGCCGTGCTGCTCCGCACTGAGCCCCCCTGCCGTGGCAGGTGCTGGAGCAACCGGCCACCTCCTGAGCCCCTCTCCTCCTCCCCCGAGCCCTGGGCATTTCCCAACCGTATTTTGGGGGGGGGGGGGGGCAGAAGCAGCTGTGGTCTGCACCGGCAGCACACCGGTCACCGGCCTGAGCAAGGCTGGAAACTCCAGGTGCTTTAGTTCCTTCGCAACACGACCAAACAAAAAACATTTTTAAAATGTCTTCTTCCTCAAGGAGTCATCCAAACCCTCGTTTTTAGCCTTTAGTAGCTTCTCGGTCCCTCTGCGCCCAGCCAGACCCCATGTACAGCTCGGGGAAAATCTGCTGCCGGGGGTTTATTGGGCAGTGTTCTCCTTTGTGTTCGTTAAAAAGGGCCTTTTCCCGCAGGCTGTCGTGGCTGGCTCTGTCGGAGCGTTTATCTATCAGGAGCACTTTAATAATGGCCAGTAAATGCAGGGAGGACGCCGGATAAAGCCACGCAAAGCCGCCATTTAAATCCTCTTGTGTAAGTTTGATATCCAAAGTGGAAGTACAAATGCTATATAAGTCAATTAAAGCATTAAGTAATCTAATTGTGCTGTGGTCACAAAGTGGCTTAAAGGCTGAGAGAGGCGAGTGAATGATGCACGAGGTCCCCTCCCGGCTCCTCCTTTAGCCGTCCCCCGAGGCGATGGGCATAAGGGCAGGGGGGGGACCCGCACCGGGGCGGGTGATGGGGGACACTGCCACCACCCTCCGGGGGTGCTCGGGGGCCGCCTGGTATTTGGGGGGGCTGGAGCAAGCGAGGGTGACACCAACCTTGGCATCGCCGTGATGCAGAGCTGCGGGGTGATGGGGACACGGGGGGCGGGGGGGGACAGTGATGCAGGGTCAGTGGGGTGAGTGGGGACCCCTGGCAGGCCCTGCAGAGCCCCCCCACCCCACTCCAGGTTGCATTTCCCACCCCCAGTCCCGGTGCAGGGGAGGGGGGGGTCTGGGCGCAGCCGTTGACGTTTCTGTCTTCCCTTTTGCCGGAGTGATTGTTTTGGTGGGGCCAGGCACAGCCCAGTGGTACCAGCACCGCTGCTGGGGGGGGGGGGGACGGACACACAAAGGGACGCTGCCCCGGGCTTGCTCGTGATGGGGCACGTCAGAGCAGGGTCTGTGTGCCAGCGCTTGGCAGCGCGCCGCTGCCGGCAGCACCGCGGGCTGCACCGTTGGCACCGCCGGGGCCGTTTGATAACCGGAATGTTTTCTTCTCTCGGACGATGCGCCCGAGCCGGCTGGCTGCCCTGAAGCCCTCCTGGTTGCTCTTCCCGGGGGCCGTTTGCACCGGTGGTGGTGGCCAAGGGGATTTTTGCGTGGAAGATGCCGAGCGCGAGCGTGACGGGGAGCACGCGGCCGCAGTCAGGAGGTGCGGTGTGGTCCCCGGGGCGGTTTTCGGAGCTAATGCAGAGCGGTGCTCGTCCCTGTTGCGCTGCTCTCACCCCGCATTGTCCTGTCGTCCCCCCCCCCCCCCCCCCCCCCCCTCCAGGTCTGTCGAAGATGCACTGGTCACCAGAGCATGCCCAGTCCCTGAACCAGTGGCCGGAGCAGCACCTCGACGTCTCCTCCACCACCTCCTCGCCAGCTCACAAATCCGACCTCTACCCCAGCACCCGCCAGCGCTTCAACTACGCCTGGGCCAACGACGACATCTCCGCTCTCACCGCCTCCAACCTCCTCAAGAGGTACGCCGAGAAGTACTCGGGGGTGCTGGACGCGCCCTACGAGCGCCCGGCGCTGAGCGGCTACGGGGATGGAGCCTTCGGGCCGGTTAACGGGCAGAAGGGGGACGGGGAGACCTGGCCGGTGGCGCACGGCTCCGAGGGCGCCTACCCCCTGACCCCCATCCACGATGGCCTCCCCAGCGCCAAGGGGGTGGTGCCCCCCGCCGTCCCCCCCGGCAGCGGGGCCATCGGCCTCGGCGGTTCCCCCGTGGTGTCGGCCAACCTCGCCGATCCCATGTACCCCGGGAACTCCTGCGGAGGAGGAGCCGCCGCCGGCTCCGGCGGGCTCGGGTCATCTCAGGAGTACCCCTCAGGCTACGGTGGCACTTATTTGCCCTCCAGCTACTGCACCCAGCCGGCAGCAGCTCTTCCCCCCCCGCACCCCCCAGCCCTCCACGGCTCGGGGCTCCTGCAGCCCCCGCACCCCTCGCCCGCCCTGGTGCCGGGCTACGGCTCCTCCGGCCCCATGTACAACTACGCCGCCGGCAGCTACGCGCCGCAGCCGGGCTACGGCACCATCCACCCGCCCCATCCCTCCGCATCCTACCTGCCCTCCGGCATCGCGGCGCCCACCCCCATCCCGGCCCCGCCGCCCGCCACCCGCCCCCCCGGGGTCCCTGGCTACGGCTACCAGGGTGCCGGTTTGGCCCCCCTGGCCGTGCCGCCCCTCGGCACCGAGGCGGCGGGCACCCTGAAGAGGAAGGCTTTCGACATCGCCGGCGGGGAGGACGAGGGGGAGGGCAGGTATAGAAAATACAGCTACGAGCAGCCAAAGTCCCCCTACCCCATGTCGGACAACGGCGACTGCCGGGGCAACGGGTTCGGCGGCAGCGCCGAGTCCCCCCAGGTGACCTTCAAGCCTGGGAAGCGGCCGGCGGGAGCCGGGAACGCCGAGGAGCACGCCAGCAAGTACGGCGGGCAGCCGATGAAGAGTATGGTCTCGCCGCCCTACGGCGCCGGGGATGCTCCGCTGCGGCCGGCGGAGCCCTTCGAGAAGTTCAGCCCCCCCCTCGCCAACGGGGAGCGGGCGGCCGAGCCGGGACCCCCCCTTCCCTCTGCGGCTGCCCCCCAAAGCGCCGGTCTTTGGCAGCGCGCCGGTGGAAGAGCAACCCAAGAACGTTGACCCGCTGGTCTTGGAGCTGGTGAACACCAAGATCGTGGAGCGGGGGCCGCCCGTGCAGTGGACGGACATCGCCGGGCAGGTCTCTGTGAAGGCCACCATCGAGGAGGAGCTGGTGTGGCCCATCCTGCGTCCCGGCGCTTACACCGGGGCCAACCGGCCGCCCCGAACCATCCTGCTCTTCGGTCCTCGCGGCACGGGGAAGACCCTGCTGAGCCGGTGCATCTCCACCCAGCTGGGCTCCACCTTGCTGAAGCTCAGTGGGACCACCCTGCTCTCCACCTGGAAAGCCGAAGCCGAGAAGATCCTGCAGACTGTCTTCTTCGTGGCCAGCTGCCGGCAACCCGCGGTGGTGCTCATCACCGAGGCCGAGTCCTTGCTGGTGGCCCGGGCTGGCGAGGACGGCAGCCAGGTGAGCAAGCTCAAGTCCCAGCTCCTCTCCTACCTGGACAACGTGGCTACCTCATCCGAGCAGAACGTGGTCATCATCGGGACCACCTCCCGGCCCGGCAGCATGGACGAAGCTTCTCACCGACGCTTCGCCAAGAGGTTCTACATCTCCCCGCCGGACAGCATGGCCCGGCGGCAGATCCTCCATCACGCCTTGGCTCAGCAGAGCTCCTGCCTGAGCGAGCGGGAGATGGCCTCCCTGGTGCAGCACACGGAGAGCTTCTCCGGCAGCGAGCTGGTCCAGCTCTGCCAGCACGCCGGGGCCACCGCGCTGCACGGGTTGCCGGCCCAGATCCAACCCACCTCCTACCAAGCCTTCGAGAAGGCGTTCGGCAAAGTCCGCCCCGCCGCCTCCCAGAAGGAGCTGGACTTGTTCCTGGAGTGGGACAAACTCTACGGCACCCGGCACTGACGGCGGGGGGGGGGGGGGGGGGGGGAACGGGGAGAGGGGTGGGGACGGACCCTTCGCCCCAGCCCGAGGCTCCGGCGCTGGATTTGGGACTTGGCCGATGGCCGCGGGGTGGGGAGGGGCCGGGTTGGGGGCTGCGGGGGCTCGGGGTGTCCCCCGTTGCTGGGGCCTGGCCCCCCTCCCTCTCCTCCCGAGGTGCCGGAGACCCCCCGGCCAGCCCCGGCGGCAGCACCGCATCCCTCTTCTTTATTATTTCGGACTCAGCCGGGCTTTTCCTCTCCGTGGTTTTTCAGAAGCCGTCGCCCACTGAACTCAGGACAACCTATTTATTTTTTTCCTGTTCATCCGTCCCTGGACCCGCGACGCAGCGAGCGGGGCCGGAGGCGCCCCGGGATCCGGCTTTCCAGCGTCGGCTGCATGAGCTCCCCCGTCTACCCAGAAGCTCGATTATTATTATTTTTTTTTTTATTATTTTATTTTTTTTTTGCGAATTGCTTTTATTGTTCCTAACAGAAATACCTCGGGCGTCTTTTGAGCAAAGCAGCCCCCTCGCACGCGGCATGAGCAGCCCGGCGGCGATGTCCTTGATTGGGGATGGGGGGGAGCGGGAGGGGGGGCACAAAACCAGGGGGTTTTGGAGTAAAATGCTGTAGATTGTTTAATATACTAGTGGTTTTTTATTTTTGTAAGGTATGTAGTATTTTTTTGTTTTTTCTTTTTAACTACTCAGGAAAAGAATTACCTCAGAAAAAAAAAAAAAAAAAAAGAATGTGTTTTTAAAAACTCTTTTTATCTTCTCAGAATAGGAAAAAGAGATTTTTAAGAGTTTTCAGACCTGGGACAGAGCTGCCTGGTGCGTTTGCTTCCAAAAGGGGTGGAGGAAGAAAGGAAGAAAGAAAAGAGGAAAAAAAAAAAAACTTGAAGCTGTTACAAAGATGAAAGTTGAATGTATTTTGGGTGCTTTTCACATATATTATGCCATAAATTTATTTTAATTTTTCTTTTTTTTTTTTTTTAAAAAACATCGTTATTGTAGCGTTTGGTGGAGTAAACGTGTCTTCAACAGAAGGAGTGTTATTAGTGCCGTAGTTTGCTGTCGCCAGCACCACTTTTTGGGTCAGGCTGGGTCCGTCACCCTCCAGCACCTCCCGCCGCACCCGGGGCCGGGGGGGATCCCCCTCCCAGTGTCATTTTTGCACTGGGGCTGGGGCCGTGGGGGGAGGCCCCTGGGGCCGGGGCCGCTGCGAGGGCACGGCGCTCCCTTCTCACCCAAAATAAGGGATTTTTGGCTTCCCACCGCGGTCGCCACCTCTGAGCGCCGAGAAGCCCCGGCAGAGACTGGTGGGGGCCACTAAATTTTGGGAAATCATTTCCCCCCCCCCCCCCAAAAAAAAAAACAGTCTAGCAAGGCTGAGCGTGGGCTGTGGGGTTTTGCCCCAGGTGCTGTTTTTCCCCCTTTTTTTTTTTTTAATTTTTTTTTTTTCCTTTTTACATTTTTTTTCTTTTTTTAGAGTTTTATATTGTACTGCGGGGGGCAGATGCTCCAGGGCCACCCAGCCACCCACCGGCACCGGCCACTGCTCAGAGCAGCCCCCCCATAACCTCAGGGTCTGCTTGCAGGGCCACCCCCTTCCCCCCGCCCCCCATCGCAGGAGTGAGGCGTCTGCCAGCTTTGGGATATTTTCCCACTTTTTTTGCAGTTTCCCATTTTCCCACTTTTTTTGCAGTTCCCCACTGAAGCATGCAGGCAGCAGCCTGCGTGCAAAGGGCATTACTGGGGCAGACGCCCCCCCCCCCCCCTTCCTCCAAAAAGTGGTACTGGGTTCCTGAAGACCTTTTATTATTATTATTATCATATTTGACTTTGTACACTCTCTGTAACCATTTCTACCTCATTTTGCAACATATTGTACATGAAAGTATTTAATTCATGTCTTATTAATGTCTGAAAAAGAAATGCTTTTGAACTGTAATGGTCTACCTCAAGAAATGCTGTATTTTAAAAAAAAAAAAAAAAAAGTATTACACAGTATTAAAGAGATTACATGAACGCCCGGCTGGGAGCCTGCAGTGCCTTCTCCCAGCCCTCGGCTCCCGCCTCGGCTTTTTTAGCCCCCCGGGGGGGTGCTGGCACGGGGTGGGGGCATCTTGAGGGTTGGCTCTGGGTGGGGGGACAGGAGGGACATGGGGGGCTATTGCAGGGGGCAGAGGGGGGTTATGGGGGGGGGGGAGGTTGCAGGCAGGGAAAGGGCAGAGCCTCAGCCCTCCCCCCCTCCTCATTAGGGGTGTGGGGGGGGTTGAGGTGTGCCCCCCCCCCTTTGTCAGTGGTGTTGGGGGGCCCAGGTGTGCCCCCTCTTCTCATTAGGGGGGGGTGTTTTGGGGGGCCCAGGTGTGCCCCCTCTTCTCATTAGCGGGGGGGGGTGTTTTGGGGGGCCCAGGTGTGCCCCCTCTTCTCATTAGGGGTGTGTTGGGGGGTTCATGTGTGGCCCCTCCCCTCATTGGGGGTGATGGGGTCCAGGTGTGCCCCCTCCCTTTGTTACGGGTGTTGGGGAGTTCCAGGTGTGCCCCCCACTTTGTCAGTGCTGTTGGGGGGTCCAGGTGTGCCCCCTTAGCCCCCTCCCTTCATTAGGGGTGATGAGGTCCAGGTGTGCCCCCTCCCCTTGTTAGGGGTGGGGGGGTCCAGGTGTGCCCCCTCTTCTCATTAGGGATGTTGAGGGGGTCCATCTGTGCCCCCCACGCTGTCAATGACGCTGGGGGGCCCAGGTGTGCCCCATCACCTCATTAGGGGTGTGTTGGGGGGTCCAGGTGTGTCCCCTCCCCTCGTTAGGGCAGAGGCCCCAGGGAGGGGCTGCCTGGGGCAGAGGTTTGGCTGGGGAGGGGGCCCGACTGGAAAGGCCCCCCCAGGTCCTGGGGGCTCGTGGGGGGCTCAGGGAGGTTTGGCTGTTGCTGGTGAGGGCCTGTCCAGTGCCTGCAGGTATGAGGGGCTTGGGGGGGGGGGGGTGAGGAGGAGGAGGAGGAGAAGGAGAAAGGTGTGTGTGGGGGGGGGGTTGTGAGGAGGAGGAAGAAGGTGTGGGTGGGTTACCTACAAGCTTTGCTGCATGATGTCTGAGCTGGCTCAGGTTTGGTGCTGGTTTAATTTTCTCTTGGTCAGTTGCATTGAATTTTTTAGTTTTTTTTTTAAGCTGAATTACTTGCCTTGCCCACTGCTGCTTCCCCCCCCCCCCCCCCCCCCCCCCCGTTTATTTCTCAAAGTTTCATATAACTCCCGAATTACGGAGTGTTCGTTTGCCTGGAGGCTTGTGACATCCTCATCCCGGTTTCTTCCTGTGCGTTAAGTTATGCGCTTGGATGATTTCGTATCCTGAAATTCGTTAATTCAGTTAATCAGTTCCCCACTGTCCGTGCAGCCCCCGAGTCGTGGGAGCGACGCGCGGCGAGAGCTGCGACCTCAGCGTTGCTGGTGGGGGGGGGATCCCCGCAGAACTGTGTGCCCCCCCCCCCCATTACAGATGCCCCTGTTAATTAGTTACACTCATTAGCAATAGCAGGCGAGCAGCCCACTGGAGGGGGACCTTGTGTTTCAGAGCAGGAATAACTGTGGCAATTAATGCAGCGGCTTCAGGGTGTTTTGGCGGGGGGGGGGGGGGAATTGGGTGCTGGGGGGGCACAGGAGGGGACGGGGGATGTGGTGGCATCCCCGGCCGAGGGCCGGGAGGTGGCTGCAGCCTTTGTGCCGGCTGGTCCGGAACAATGCGGCAGCTCCGGCCTTTTATCGGGACCCCTGAGGTTACTGCGCTATGAATAAATTACTTGGTGGATGGGCTGCGGAGTCACGAGCCGGGAAAATGAGAGGAAGGCTCCCTCCTCTTCCTCCTCCTCCCGCACGGGGAGGTTCGAGGCTCCTCTCCGCCTGCTGCAGGGGCTGCTGTGCACATCCCTGCTCCCGACCCGCATCCGAGCGGGTGATCCCTGCGTGTCCAGCCACGCTCTGCCCACCCCAGCCGGGGAAAACGCCGGGCTTCGCCGCGGCGGGATGTGCCGGCGCAGGGAAGCGGCTGCTCCCCGGCATCTCGGGTTATTAAAATGAATTTGCAGCTGGGCTCCGACCTTTCGGAGTCTCGATTCCACAAAACTCCCGAAACCTGCACGCTGTCCCCAAACCCAGGCCAAGTCCCGAGCGGGACACTCCAGGATAAGGGATTCCTGGTGGTCTTCCGCCAGCGCGGCCACACGTGCCGCTTGCCCGCTGCTCTCTTTGCTCGGACGTGCACACGCATTTCCATCGGCCCCAGCTGTGTTTTCCTCCTGGGGAGACCTGGCGGATGGTCCTGGACCTCCCTGAGAGATGCTCCCCAATTTTTTTGGCAGGCGGGTTGTTTCCAGGGGTGGCAGCAGCAACAAGATGATAGTGGCAATGGTGTTAGTCTTGAAATCTGTCACCCTCAGAGAAAAAAAACTCCCCGTCATCAGTGCAAAACTGAATATTCTGGGTCTGGCAAAAGCCACCTGGGCCCAGCTGCTCAGTGCTGCTTCTCCCATCAGGTGATAAGTTTCTGCAACAAGGCAGAAACTCCTGGAAAACCATCCTGTGAGTCCCCACGGAGCAGGGTCAGGGCAGGGGGGTGAGACTGGTGTAGGGGAGAAGGACCCGATCCTCACCCCGACCCCCCAGCAAGGCGGCAGCAGCAGGAGGTGTTTGCTCAGTGGGTCTGGGGCTCCGTGGCCGTGGATTCCCAGCTTCTCCCTCTTTACCCTCCCGAAGGAGCTGCACAGGCCCCTTCCCTCTGTCCTGGGGACACGGGGCATGTCTCAGAGCTTCAGTGCTGTGGCTTTCCGTCCCCGGCACGGGGATTCCCATCCCAGGTGTCTTGATCAGGGTCCTAAAAATCCTCACGGCAGGATGAGGCCCTCGGGCCCCGACTTTGCTGCGTGGAGGATGGCAGCTGGGAGAGGCAGGAGGCAGCGATGGAGGATGGAGCCTGTGCAAACCTCCCATTCAAGGAATTGTTCCTTCTGCTCTTTGGTCCTGGCTCCAGGCCCGGCTCAGCCCCGTGACCCTCCAAGCTGCTGCTTTTTTGGGGAGATCTGGGGAAATTGCAGCTTTATTGCCAAGCTGATTAAAAAGCGCGTGGCCGGAGCTGCATTGCCACCTCGTGGTTATGGGGTCCTCGCCCGATCCCTGAGCAAAACCGTTTTGGTTAAACTCGACTCCGCTCCATCGATTTGGGGTGGGAGAGGGAAACGCAGGGGTGTGCGGGGGCCCCGTACCCCCTCCCCGCGGAGGGAAAGGGGAGCTGCTGCCGTTGCCTTGGGGCTTTCGGGAGATGGAAGAGGGCAGTGGGGATGTCCCAGGGGAGCAGCGGCCATCCCCCATCCCTGCTCTTGCAAAAGTGTCAGCAAGAGCCCGACACACTGCACTGAGCTGTGTCCCATGGGCACAGGCAGGATCCCCCGGGGTGAGGAGGGCGTGGGAAGCAAAGGCTGTTGTTCCCGGATGCATGGACGGACGGACAGACGCCGCTGCCAGCGGTGAAAGTGCCCTGAAGCTCCCCACAGACAGCATTAAATTTCCAGCCCTTCAGTGCGGCTTTGCTGGGAATCGAGGGACCCTTTAGTCTGTCCCCACATCCCCAAGCTGCGAGCGTTTGGTGCCCAAAGGGACGGCTCGGCTGGGCTGAACTGGGGAGGGGAGGGATGCTGGGCTGGGGGCGAGGGGCTGAGCTGGGGCGCAGCGGTGCGGACAGCCCCGGGGGGAGGAACACAAAGGACTGGGGGACAGGGGACGCGTCCCTGGAACACGCTGGCTTGTGAGGTCAGACCCAGAGTGGGGGGTGTCTGCGTCCCCGGGCCACCCCGATGCCGAGGGGGCACCCAAGCGATGCTGGCTCTCATCGGACTCCTCCTGCTCTTGCTGGCGGTGGGCGGCCGGTGCGAGGACACGGTGGCGGCCAGCGTGGGCCGGCACACCGTGAGCCGCATCGCCGAGCTGCTGTCCCTCTCCGAGTGCCGCCAGCTCCAGAGGCACCTGGCAGGGCCCGACAGGGACCTGGGGGAGCAGGAGCTGGAGCAGCTCTCCGAGGAGAACAACCCCATCCGTCCCCGCCGCCGGCGCGACCTCCGCAGCTCCACGGGATGCTTGGAGGCTCTGCGGAACTGGCTGGAGACGGCAGGAGAGGTGACGACGTGGGACCGGCTGGCCCGGAGCCTCCGCCAAGTCGGGCGCCCTGATGTCGCCCGGGAGCTGGGGAAAAACCTGAACCAGGACAGGAGCCTGGAGCTGCGGAAGAACGTGGAGGAGTACGGCCGCACCGTGCGGCACCTCACCTCCTCCCTGCTGCTGGAGGGCAGGCGGCTTGGCGGGCTGCGGGGCAGGAGGGCCCCGGGGGGGGACTTGGGGGACCTGCGCTTCGAGAGGCGGCCGCCCCCCCCCTACACCCGCAACCTCCTGGGCTGGGTCGGCCCCGTCGTCTCGGGCGTCCTGGGGGGCTTCCTCGCCTCTGTCCTCTTCACCGCGGCCACCGTGTGCTCCTGCCGCTGGGTGCTGGGCTCGGATGTCACCTGAAACGGAGATGTCACCTGAAACTGGGACGTCACCCAAATGGGAGCGTCTCCCAGAAGCTGTTGGAGGGAAAACAAGACCCAATAAAGCCTCGTGGAGGGGCTGAGATCCAGAGACCGACCCCGTGTGCTCTCCTGGGCAGGGAGGGTCCCGTCCTCGGCTTCAGTCTTGCTGGAGCATCCAGGGCTGGGTGTCCCACCGCCCATCCTCATCATCCCCGGCTGTGCTGGGGACGTCCCCGCGTGTCACTGGGTGCCCTAAGGCAGGGACGGAGCCGGGCAGAGCCCCCTTGGCCATGTCCTCGCTGCAGCCCCCCGTGCCCCAGCGTGGGGTCTCCCCCACCTCCCAGGTAGGAAGGAGACAAAAACTGCTGGGTTATTACACTAAGCCAGCACCTGGGGTTAAGCATTCATGGCAGAAAAGTTAATTAAAACGCCAGCGACCTGGTTTGGCGTTGCAGTAGAGGTGTTTTGTGTGGCTTGGAGCCATCCGGGATGACAACTTTGGCCTTCCTGAAGCTGGGAGCTGGGTGCGCGGAGGAGCCATCGGAGCTGCTGATGGCCTGGGGGCTTCACTCCCTTCTTGGTCTGTCTCTTACTGTCTGTTTAGGGTTTTTTCTCTCCATTTCTTAGCCAAGGGACTCCCGTGAAGCAACTAAAATCCCTGGACTGCGTGTTGCAGGGAGGCTTGGGTGGGGTTTGTGTTGCTGATGGGGCTGGGGAGGGCAGGATGCGACCTGACGGAGAAAGCGCCTGCGCAGGAAAAAACGCAAATATCTGAACACTTGCACGTGGCACTCGGACGCCTCGCTGGCTTTTTGTGTGTGATGGTCCTAAACCCACAAAACCTGGAGGTCCCAGGTGGTGCTGCCAGGCCTGGTGGGGGTCCCCGGGCCCCTGCCACAGCATCTCTGCTGTCCCAGGGTGTCTGTGGCCTCTCCCCGCTGCTGAAACCAAACCAGCACAATGAAACGGGGTGGTGGGGGGGAACCCAAAGCGCTTTCAGTCTGATTATAACCATCTGCGTTGCTGTAATTGGAATTAAAACCTGGTTGTTTTTTGTATCAAGGAATGGCTTGCGTCAATCCAACCAGCTAGCAGTGGCTTGTAAGTACTGGAGAAGAAAGGGAAGGAGAAATAACCCCGAACATAGCCTTAAAAGACGAGCAAAACGGTTAACTGTTTATGTAATTTTATTTATTTATTTTTTTTCCTAAATGAATTTGTACCCACTGCCCTTAGAGCGCCGTTTCCTGAAGCACCAGCGCAGCCAGTTCCTGGCCCAGAGATGCTCCTCTCGGGGAGCGACCGACCCGCTCGTGCTGCTGCCGGGGAATCGCCGCCCCCCCGGGGGTGCAGGGCTGCTTTGCCGTCTGCCGCGGCCCGGTTGCCTTGCTGAGCCCGACGAGCCGGTGCTGGTGGGACGGCGGGGATGGGAGCTGGGAGGGTGCTGCGTGCGTGATGGTGTTAGAGCTGTAAGGGACGGCGGCGTTTACTCTGGAGCGGAAGGAGGGATGGGCCCCGACAGCCGAAGATGCTGCTCGGGGGGGCTGCAGGTCTCCCCGGAGCGGCGTGCGTCGGCAGGGGCAGGCAAACGCGAGGAAGCAGGAGCAGAGAGGTCGTGGCAGAATCCGTCCCCAAATGCAATTTAGCACTCGGTCTCCCGAAAGCAGGAAAAGCCTGACCGGGCCCTGCGGGGGCTGGCATGAGCTTTGGGTTGAGACCGTAGGGGTTTTGACTTTTTCCCCCGGATTTGGAGCCTGGGTGCTCCCTCGGGGCAGGGGCTGGCGCTGGACACCCGCGCTCCGCACCGGCCTGACTTTGCGAAGCCACCGCGGGAGTCCTGCCCCCGCTGTTGGTTTTTGCTCCTCTGGAAGTTCTGGCCCATCTGAGCTGAGGACGGTGGGTTTTTGGGGGGTGGGGGGCGGGTGGTTGCTGCTGTGCAAAGGTAACAGAAGGACAGGGCAGCCAGGAGAAGTTGGTAAAACAAGATGGACGTACCTCTTTATTGCAAATTCCAAAGTAAAAAGATGTACAGTACAAAGGACCGCAAAGTTCAGACATCAAACTCCCAGCCCACTGGTTTATCACGTTCCTCCTCCCTCCCTCCCCCAGCCACCTTCCTCCTCCTCCTCCTCCTCCTTTCTTCGTGTGAGACAGAACAGAGAATAAAACCTAGGAGTGAAATTGGGGAGCAAGTACAGCATGGGGCAAACCCCAGCGTCGCGAACTGGTTGTGCAAAGGGAGCAGGCGGCTCTGGCCCGTGGGGAAGGTGGGTGGAGGGAGCCGGGGGGGTTGTAGCAGCATTTGTGTTGGCGCCCGTGATTCTCGCTGCGTTACACTCGGTCACTAGTGAAGCCTCACAACACCCCTGTGAGGTGGGGACTGGGACACCCCAGTTACAGCTGGGTAGAACTGGGAGAGGGGGCGGGAGCGAGTCCCCCTTCCCCGTGCCCCGCGCTGAGGAGACACACTAAAATTACAACATGCAGCAAACTGGCAAAGGGGAAATTGTTTTATTCTTTGTTTGCTTAATTTTACTACTTTTTTTTTTTTTTTTTTTTTTAAAAAAACCCCAAAAACAAAGCAATGAGCCAGTGGTGTTTTCTTTGTGTGACGTTGACCCGGTGAGATGCGGGACTGCACAGCCACGCTCTGTGCCTCGCAGTGCCAGGGGTTTGCTTACGCTAGCTGGCCTTGACTGAGCAGCAGAATCTCCGTCTGTTGAACAAACTGGACCAAAACTCTAATAGGAAAAATAATTTCAAGGCGCTGTCCTCAGCCATTTGACTTGCAGCAACTCGAGGTTGAATCCTGGCCTCCCGACGAGGCCGAGGCAAGACCTGGAGCTCGTTGGTTTTGGGTCAAAAGCTGGAGAAAGCTGGATGGGACCCCACTGATGGGGTGGTGGGGGGGTCCGGGTCGCCTGCCGCTGGCTGCGGCTCCAAATTTTAGGGCCTTCAGCCCAAGTGAGCAGCAGGAGCCCGCAGGTGTGGGGGAGGCTGACGGGGACCCCCCCACGGGGTACGTCTCGGACTCTGGAAAAGCAAGCTGCAACCCAGGGGCGTGCAGTCGTGGGGGTTTTTGGGGGGGGGTGATGTGCCCAAGCGAGGGTTGTGGCGGGGGGAGCCCCCCAGCGCTGTCCGTGCGCGGGCGCTGCCGGCCGGAGGGCTCGCTGGCCGTCGCTCCAGCTGCTTTGGCTTGTCTTTTTTTCCACTTTTTTTTTTTTTTTTTTTTTTTTTTTTTAAGCGGCTTTTTTAGCGCAAGGGGCTGCGGGGTGTTCGAGCCCCTCGCCAGGGCGGGTCCAACGCGGGGCCCCGAGCCCCGGCAGCACCGGTCCCCGCGGGGAGGATGGACGGAGGGACCCGGCCCCCCGACGGACACCAACCTCCCTTCCAACAGCTCCTGCCGCAACTCACTCTGCTCTCTTCTGCACGCTTTAGGTAAAAACACCCTAAAAAAAAGCCTTGGGGGGGCAGTCTGGAGGAGGTGGAGGGGAAGGAGAATGCAGCCAGTCAAATAATTGGGACACCAAGACAACCTTACCTTGTACAGTGAAAAGGGTAACATTTATTATATTTTCTTTTGGCTTATAGTAACGTAATTGTTAATCATGTTGGGTAAGATCATTATGAGCCACCATGCAATTTCTAATACACTAATCTTCACTATTGATCTTTTACAGCTTTAACATTTTTTTTTTTTTTTTTTTTTTTTGCGGCAGAAAATTAAATAATTCGAACTTGGGTGTGGCCTCTGTGTAACATCATGGTTTTCTTTTAATTTGTTTTGTTCAACATTGGCTTCTATATTTTAAAAAAAGGTGAACAGGAAAAGTGAATAAAGCAGCTTGAATTGGTATTTGTCGCCCTTCCCCTCTGCTCTTTGAAGAACACAGCCACAAATTAACCCAAAAGGGAGGATTTTTGAAGCGGGGGGGAGGGAAGAGAGCTACTTGTAGTCTTGATTTTTGGCACCGTCTGTTTAGCTGACACCACCACCCTTGCTTTATTCCCACAACCCTGAATCCGGAATGTAAATTCCGTGCACGCATTTGAGTTTGGAGATTTGTGTATGACACGAGTGTCCCTAAGGCTCTTTGACCGCAGTTTCCTCTCCGTCCTCGGCTTCACCCGGGGAAGATGCACAGAAACGCAGACCCATCACTTCCAGCACCCGGGAGCTGCGGCTGGTGGAAATATCTGCCCTAGGGAGGAAACTAAGAGAAAAACAAACCAAAAAAAAAAAAAAAAAAAAAAAACCAAAAAACCAACCCCCATGAAACTTTTCTTGGAGCAGAAGGTCCGACTCCAGCCAACGAACAGTCTGAAGCGACTGCTCGCTCCCGTTCCTTCTCAGCAATGCTGACTGACCCCACCACCGGCCTCGTGCACTTAGTACAGATCTCATGGTAAAAAAAAAATAAATATATATACGTAGTTTGAAGGGACTTTTTATTTTAAAGTAATCAAGTAGCTTAATGAAATTGCCAGCACGAATGCTAAACGTACCAAGCTTCACCTACGAGTCAATAGCCCAGCTTAAGAACAATTATGAAGTTTAGCCAAATCTTGCATAGAAGTGGTCAACTTATTGCACGTCGGAACCCAAAAATATATACTTTTGCTGTTGCAAAGATCATTTGCAGTAAAGCTTTTTTTTTTTTTAAATCTATTTTGGGGGGGAGTAGGGTTTTGTGTTGTTTTTTTTTTTTTGTTTTTTTGTTTTTTTTTTTTTTTTCCTTTGGGGGACATTTACTGGCTATCTAAAGTCTAAGGAAAACAGAAAAATATTAAAAAAATAAAAATAAACATGGACAATGGCATAAGCCAGAAGCCATTCTATTATTTTTGTAGTTCTTTGTATTTACAAAAAGGCATGCCGATAAAATAAAATGATATATTACAGTATTTATAATATTCTCTTAAAAAGTTTCAACCACACTTTTCAGCTTTTTTTTTTTTTTTTTTTTTTTTTTTGTGCTGTTTACAACGTAGCCTGTACATATGTATGTAGTTTTTCTTTGTTATTGTACATCAGATCCGAGGAGCAACTGGGGCGAGAGCTGACAGGATAGAAAAGGTTCCTTGCTGTGTTCCTGGGTGCAGCGGGGCGGCTCGGCCGGGGCCGCCGCCGCGGCACGGATGGCTGCTGGATGGCTTCCTGCTTGCTTCTGCTTTTTTAAGTGAGTGACTCCTGGAATTTGCTGGGTTGTGAGATTATGCAAACCGCGATTCTTCCTGCCGTTAAATTCTGTTGTCTTGGGGTTTGGTGTTTTTTTGTTTTTTTTTTTTTTTTTTTCTGTTGTTGTTGGTTTTTTGTTTGTTTGTTTGTTTTTGTGTTGGTTTTTTTTTTTTCCCTGCTATCCTGGGCACCCTGACTTTGGTCCGCACTCCAACGCCCGCCCTTGGCACCTCCCGGGCGAGGTGGGCACCAGCCCCGCGCCCTCGCCTCTCCCTGCCCTCGCAGCAACCCCCCGCGCCGGGCCTGATGACAAACATCTCAAACCGGCGCAGGAGAGCCGGCCGAGCCATGAGGACACCACGAAACAGGATCTGGGGCTGTCGTGAGTCTGGTCGGCGAGGGAAAGGAAACGTTTGGGCTTGTGCTCGTGCTGGTCGCGTGGCGTTATTTCCCTGCTGCAGCGGGAAGATCAGGCAAGAGGTAGCTCGGCTTCCTACCCAACCCGCGGGGCTCTTTTGGTCGCCACTCTATGAAAATGGGAAGAATGGGAAGGCACCCATGGGCCAGCTCGTCCCCAGGACGCGGCCCCTCCTCTGCTGCACCTCGTTAAACACCCACACCCCCCCCCCCCCCCGGCAGCAGGAGGGGACGGAGGGGACGGAGGGCTCCGGGTTTCCGAAAAGCCACCGCGGGGCTGCATCCCGCCCGGAGCGGGAACCCCGCCAGCAGCAAAACCTCCCCCGGTTTCTACCAGTAGAGACAACACGCTGCTCTTTTTTTAGCACTCTACACAAAAAAAAAAGAAAAAAAAAAAAAAAAAGTGTCTACGCTGCAGGATGGAGGCTGAATAATAATTGATATTCATGATAAATATTGCGGGATACAAACGAACTCACTGACTGGTATTTAAGCCCTAGGTTTTGGTTTTACAGTGACATAACAAGCCATTCTCAGTTTTTATCATCTCCCCTCGGACGAGGTCCAGAGCAGCATTTAGTTTTGTTTTATTTCAGTGTGCAAAAAGATGGCTGTATGGAAAAAAAAAAAAAAAAAAAAAGACAAGTTGTTAAACATACACACACAATTATTTCATCTGCTTGTTTCTTCTTGTTGTTTTGTTTTTTGTTTTTTTTTTTGTTTTGTTTTGTTTTGTTTTGTTTGTTTGTTTGTTTTTCTCCTACTGGACTGATCACTACGAACTGGGAAGTACCGGTGAAGGGCACGATTATTGTGAGAGTTTATCTCCCAATACAGTGTACGGTAGTCAGTGGAGTGCCTCGAATTTATGGCTTAACACACTGCTGTGGACAGATTATTGAGTGTTTTGTGGTTTAATGGTTCCTCATGCATGGTTCCTGGTCACGGCATGCCATCATGCAAATCGTTTCTATGCATTGAACGAGCACTTTTTTTGGGGGGAATCAGCCTGAGCTGTCTCCAGGCTGAAGGTACCTGATTACCCCATCTCCCAAACCAAGTAAAGCCCATGTAGAAAGTAGAATGCAGATAATAAATATCAAATAAACTATGACAATTAAATGGCATGGGCTAAATGGGTGGTTTGTTTCTTTTTTCCTTTTTTTTTTTTTTTGTTTTACTTGTTTTAACATTTTTCTTCTTTTTTTTTTTTTTTTTTTTTTTGTTGCTGCTTAACTAAATGCAAACCTAGTTTTGCATGAACAAACCCTTTAACATTGTGACTTCTGGGTTTTCTTTCAATAATAATCAACAAAATGGGAAAATAAAATCCATTTTGGGCTGCTTTGGAAAATACATGAATCCCAGCAGCAGGTTTTGTTTCTGTGTGTGTGTGTTTTATTTTGCTTGTTTGTCCTAAGTTGCATTGACTGATGTGGAACATGCAGTATCCACCTGCCCAAACAATAGAAAATCCATTTTTTTTCCTTTTTTTGTGTTTAAATGTTTGTTTACAAGGGTCCTTTAAACAGGTGGTAGGTCACTGCTTTAGATGCAACGCTGTCACACAGTAAGCAGACTATGTTTGGTATAAGATCTTCAGGTAAGTGTCTCCACAGCTGTTCTGTATTGATATATTTCAGGAAGTTTGTAAACAATCTTTTCACTTGCAAATATTTTAATTTGTACAATTCTATTATTTTTGTCTCAACACTTGGATTCCCTGACATCTTTTTGTCTTTTCGCTTTTTCTCGTCTTCCTTCCTCTGCTCGTTGCTGTTTCTCCTTCTCGGGCTTGGTGACACTGTCGTACGACGGGAGAGACGCCGTCGAGGGGGTGCCTTCCTTTTTCTCCCTGTTTGTTCCTCCGTTTTCCAGTTTTGTGGAGACAGGCCTGCGGCTAATAAAGCCCCGTCTTGCTAAACGAGCCCTGTAAGCCCTCTGGATAACCACTGCCGAAACTTCTTCCTGCTTACGCCGGAGCGTAGTTGTGATGGGCTCATAAGACACTTTGGAAGGGTTGGATGCCACAAATCTTTCCTCCATCTGTTGCCTCAGGATGTCCAGCTCTCCGCTGTCCCCCAGGACACGTTTGGTGAAGGCAAACAAGATGTCTAAACAGTGGATCCTGTCTCCACTTACCATAGGCAGGTCCATGGCAATGAGTTCGATGGTGTTGGGTTTGGGGACGCGGAGAGGATGTTCCAAAGCATCAGCAAAGTCTGCGAGCTTGCTGTACTCTATGAACTGTGTGGCATCGGGGTCAAACTTCTCCCAGATCTCGTAGAAGGTCTCAAAGTCATCCTCGCTTAGGGGATCTGCACTCTCCTCTGTCGCCACGCTGAAGTTCTCCAGGATGATGGCAATGTACATGTTGACCACGATCAGGAAGGAGATGATGATGTAACTCACAAAGAAAAATATCCCCACCGAAGGGTTCCCACAATCCCCCTTAAAACCACTCCCAGGGTGCTCCTTGTCCAGGTCGCAGTCTGGAGGCCGGTTTAGGATTGGCAGCAGCAGGCCATCCCAACCAGCTGATGTGGTGATCTGGAACAAGCAGATCATGCTGTTGCCAAAGGTCTCAAAATTGAACATATCATCTATGCCAGCCTCATGCTTGACGTAGGCAAAGTTTGACATGCCAAAGATGGAGAAGATGAACATGACCAAGAACAGCAAGAGGCCAATGTTGAACAAGGCAGGCAAGGACATCATTAAGGCAAAAAGCAAGGTGCGGATTCCTTTGGCTCCTTTGATCAAACGCAGGATACGTCCAATGCGAGCCAGTCGGATGACTCGGAAAAGAGTGGGCGACACGAAATACTTCTCAATGATTTCAGCCAGGAACATTCCTAAAGAAGAAGAGAAGGGACAAGTGTGACAATGGAGATGTGCGGTCCGCTGCTGCTTCTGAACCTAGTCAAGGTACCGGGAACACGGAACACCTTGGTCAGCTTTTCAAAGGGGGTCTGTGACTAGGAGGCCTCACCTTCAGGGAGGTGAGTCTCACCTAGGTGCTCTGGCTCCCTAAGTAGTTCTCCTAAACGGAGAGGGGTACCACTGTGGTGTGAGTCGTTCCACCTGGATGAGGATGGGTGGGTGGCTTCTTGGAGGTGCCTAGCCCTCGGTGCCTAACTCGGCCACTGGAGCCAGGCTACGGACTCTTTTTTTGAAGGTGTTAAAAATATGTGAGAGAAATCTTATTTCTAGCAGCAGACAAACCTGAATCTCAGTTTTGTACTGCAGGGCAGTCTCTAGAAGTCGGTATTTTGTCAGTACACCTGGACAGAGCTGCATCCAGTCATGCTTTTTGAGTGGCCCTGTTGCATTTGTTAAGGTTATGCATATTTTACAGATTAGCCGCTAAAGTGCAAAAACCTGTTGGAGGAAAATGGTTGATTCAACATTCAACCCAACTGAAAACAAGAGTGCAAATCACATGCTGACGTAGGAAGCACTGCAATGCTATTTTCAGTGGTTAGTAAGTATTATTCTGATGAGGTGAGTAAAATTTTTGTTTTTAAAGACGGGGAGAATAATTGTCAAGTATTTTACTCCATACAACTGGAAATGAATGCCAGAACAGAGGGAGAAGGGTGCATCAGTCAGGATTTCAAGCTGCCAAATTCTGCCACGGTCTCTTCACAAGGCTAAAAAGCGAACCTAGAATTCCTGGCATCTATATATCCCCTTCAAAGACAAGAACGTGCTCTACTCTTGCAAACACCGAGACAGCCCAGCACCCACAGACCTCGATCTAATTGGTGTCGCACTTACCCACGATGGACAGAATCACAACCACGAAGTCAAAAATGTTCCACCCGATGGTGAAATAATAGTGCCGCAAGGCGAACATCTTCAGCACACACTCACAGGTGAAGAAGATGACAAACACCAGGTTGATCCAGTAAAGGATGTCCTCCATCTGCTTGCTTTGTGTGTCTGTCTCCACCATCATGGTCACCATGTTGAGGCAAATGAGCATCATGATGACTATATCAAATGCTTGCTGGGTAACAAAGTCAAAGACAGCTCCTTGAATGCGGTTCTGTGCAACAGGAGAGAGACAGTGAACCAAACACATCTGAACAAAAATCTACCGTTAGGCAACAAATTATTTCACTGTTGGTAGAAACAGGGATGAGGACATCAGTTTTTTCAGTATCTTATGAAGCTTTCAAGGCAAACTCTAGCCACAATTCAATCTGTTTACGGGAAAGGTAGGAAAATGCTACTATTTATACCCCAAAGATGCTCCTACAACCCTATTACCAGCACATCTTCCTCTGTGTTGAGACCAAAGGCAAGGCGATGCACTTCCACTCACAACTGGAGACAGCAGGCAGGTCTGCCTTGCAGTGCACCTCAACTAGATTTCGACGGCCTCGTTTAGCACCCTGGCAGCAGTCTAGCTCCAGCAGCAGGATGCCTTAGCAGTATCTAAGGGGCTGGCCCAATATCACGTGCAAAGGCTTTCAGAAAGCAAAGAACTGTGCTTAGGTCTCAGCCCACAAGGCTGGCTAATTGTCCAAGGTCCCGCTCGTTAACGCCAGGAGGCCTCCTACCCTCCATCTACAGCCTCTCAGCCAGACAGGGTTTTCAGATCGTTTTGTTGATTCAGGAGAGCCAGCTGATTAACATCAACCACAGCTGTAGTGTTTTAACCTTTCTCAGATGATACCTGAATTATAATGACAAGAACATGGTGATGTGGAGGCCAGCATGGCTTAGAACAAAGGATGCTTCTGGAGCCAAAGCTCCTTTGAGAGTCTACTCTGCAGGTTTTTTACCTTCAGTTCCCTTTATAACATACTCACCAGAGGTCGGGGAATAGGTTTCTGAGGCTTCTTTGAGCCCAGTTTTTTCATGGCATTATAGTACTTCTTTTGTTCTTCTGTCATGAAAATATCTTGACCTCCAAAGTAAAGGGGCAAAAGGAAAACTGGTTACAATCAGCTCATACACCAGAAGGGAAAGGAATAACATCCTAGCTAAGTCATGAGGATACCTGCCATATGGGAAGTTGGTGGCAGCTATTTTAGACAGAAATAATACCCAAGGTGTACTGATTTTCTGTTAAAGAAAACTGAGTGGTTTTCCTACGAATAACCTGCTTTATTGCACAACATCCTTCCCCATCCCCTTGATCTCTTTTGTGATAAACAGGTAGCAGAGGTGCCAGGCCCCTGAGCGCATACTGCATACATGCAAATCCTCAGCTTGACCAATTTACAGAGAAGAAAAGCAGCATATGAGATGGAGGGAGAGGCAAGGAAGACATCCTACTTCCAGTCTGTATATTTTAGTCAAGGCAAAAAAAAAAAAAAACCCGAAACGCATGGAAATGTAGTCCAGGGAAAATGTCTAATCTGGCTGGTTTTACATAAAGCTTTGGGCTGCCGCCTGCGCTCCCGCAGCCTGTTCAGGCGGTCTCGGGGGGCTGGGTGGGGAGTGATGAGCTGAGTCACGGTGGTTCTGCAGCCCCCAGCTCTGAGAGCGGAGGCCGGTGCCCCACACCGAAGCTCCTTGACCTTTATTTTGCAGAAAAGCCCATCAGCCTGAAGACCCAACATTCCTCAAACGGGTCTCAGCTCCCCTACTAATCCGCAAACACAGATCACTTATCTTTTTCTTTTGTTGATTGAAGTTGTCAATGATGACACCAATGAACAAGTTCAGGGTGAAAAAAGAGCCGAAAATAATGAAGATAACAAAATATATGTACATGTAAATGTTGTCCTCATACTTGGGTTGCTCTTCTTGCTGAATGGGAGATGAGAAGAGAAATCAATGACATTTCAAAGGCATCATACAAATATAGTCAAAATGAGATTGGTCATGTTTCCAAGTATTCCCATATAAGGCAGTCATGCTTTATAAAGCTGTAGTTATATATGGAAAGCCATGTCCTCACACTGCTTAAAGTAAAGCAAAAGTATATGCATGTATATTGTATGTATATACCAAGAGATGGTGATCTAGTTTTCAGAAATATAATATGCTACAATTTAAACAGACTTTCACTGTAAATTAGGTCAGTGCCCATAAAATGCATAACTTGCAAATCACAAAGGAAATTATCATTTTAATGACAAGCACCGCCAAAGTGAAGACATCGTTCTTTCTTTTGAAGAGGGACGTGTAAGACCATCAGCTGATCAAAAGAGAACATTTTTTACAATGTCCTGACACAGTCATATTACTTGCTTCCAACCCTGAGTTCAGTGTAGGACAAAAAAATCCACTTAAAAATCTTTTCATGTAAAACCAAGAGAAGAGAAGGAAAAAAAAAAAGTTACAAAGCAAAAAGGAAGGAATGGTATTTGCATGATTCCAGCATGCAAGAACAAGAAAAGTGCCTGAAGAGTGAGCTCCAATCCAGATATAATTTCAAAACTGGATTCAAACCGGCACTTGGGATCCCATGTAGATGCAAGGTTCATGGAAGACCTTCTGGCTAATTCCTCCCCATAATTTATTCTGATGATGAAATATATAACTTCACTGTATTTCTACTCCAGCAGGAGGATCCCTGCCTCTAAAGCAACCAGAAGAACCTTGCCCTTTCCAGGATTTTCTTGAGCATCTTTTAACTTATCACACTAACAGAGAAAATGAAACAATCACAGCGTTAAATACTTAATATAAGCACAGTTTTACAATTTTTACTCTTCATTTTACCAACGCAAAATAGCAGAGTGAAATATTGGGAGGTGAGTTTGTGGTGATGCACTTTACCTTTCTGGAATCTACTGCTGCATACATGATGTCCATCCAGCCCTTGAAAGTAGCCTAGCAAAGAAAACACATGTTCTCTTAGAAGTCACCCAAAGCCAAAGAACAAGTCTGAGCTGTGCCAGCTATGTCAAGGATTCCCTGGCACTCTTGGTCGCCCCAGATACTGAACTTTAATTTTGCTTAAATATTTCTCTTTACATTTAATCTAAATGAAATGAATCAAGCCCAAGAAGTGGGCCCATGTGGACCTCACGAGGTTCAACAAGGCCAAGTGCAAGGTCCTGCACCTGAGTCAGGGCAACCCCTGGTATCAATACAGGCTGGGGGATGAAGGGATGGAGCACAGCCCTGCGGAGAAGGACTTGGGGGTATTAGTGGAGGGAAAACTGGACAGGACCCGGCAACGTGCGCTCGCAGCCCAGAACCCACCCGTGCCCTGGGCTGCAGCCAGAGCAGGGGGGGCAGCAGGGCCAGGGAGGGGATTCTCCCCCTCTGCTCCACTCTGGGGAGACCCCCCTGCAGTGCTGGGGCCAGCTCGGGGGCCCCCAACAGCAGAAGGACACGGAGCTGCTCGAGCGGGGCCAGAGGAGGCCACGGAGATGCTGGGGGGGCTGGAGCAGCTCCCCTGGGGGGCCGGGCTGAGAGAGTTGGGGGTGTTCAGCCTGGAGAAGAGAAGGATCCGGGGAGCCCTTCGAGCGGCCTCCCAGGGCTTAAAGAGGGGACAGGAGCTGTGGGGAGGGACTCTGGATCAGGGGTGTGGGGATGGGATGGGGGGGTAATGGTTTTAAGCTGAAAGAGAGGAGATTTAAGTTAGATAAAAGGCAGAAATCCTTCCCTGTGCGGGGGGTGAGGCACTGGCCCAGGGTGCCCAGAGCAGCTGTGGCTGCCCCCTCCCTGGAAGGGTTCAAGGCCAGGTTGGACGGGGCTCTGGGCAGTCTGATCTAGTTGGGGATGTCCCTGCTCATTGCAGGGGGGTTGGACTGGATGACCTTTGAAGGTCCCTTCCAACTCAAACCATTCTGCGATTCTATGATAAATGAATCTAAGCAGGTTTACTGCTGTCTCATGGAAGGTTTGGTAGATTCTTTGAAGAGCAGAGTTGGGGCCACTTGTACTGGGAGACCCATACTAGGCAAAGGGGTGAAAGGTAAAACAGCAATTTCATTCCAGACCCAAACCCAAGTGGGATTAATGATTAACGGGATGGCGTATTTCATGGAGAGAGGGAAGCAGTCAAAATGCATTAGAAGCAGTTTGTATTTACCACTGCTGGAGAGATAGTGAAAGCAAAACTTACAACTTGCAGAAGAGCCAGATATCCTGCCCCAACGTTGTCAAAGTTAATTTTCACATTCTTCCATCGAATCTCAGTGGAGTTGGGTGGCATCAGTGCTTCACAGTCTGTCTTGTTGTTAACAACATCTATTTCAAAGCGCTCCTCAGCTGTTTCATTAAAGCAGTAATGATATTTCCCGGCAAACAGGTTAACCCCCATAATGCTGAAAATCAGCCAGAAGATAAGGCAGACCAACAACACATTCATAATGGAAGGGATAGCGCCAACCAAGGCGTTGACAACCACCTGTGTTGGAAGGGGTGGGAAAAAGTTTCAGTATAAAACACAGGGCAGGAAACAACAAGCATCAATACAGCTGTTTTTGGGGGGGGAATAGGAGGTAAGGCCACTGACAGATCTGTGGCGTTTACTCCACGCAGAAGTTGGCAGTGAACTTATTCCAAGCGGTAAAAAATTCTGCTTAAAAGCCACCTACCGAAGCTCTGTTTTTAAAATAAAACAGGCCACGTCGTTAGATTTACTGGGTTTGATTTCTGGATCGTTACTTCTTTAGTTAATTATTTTAAATAATTTTAGTTGCCAAAAGGGAGAAGGGGGCCATTACTGAGCGAGGCTCAGACTCTCTTCTTGGTTACAAACAGGCTCCTAGCTAAAATTTTCTCAGAGCCAAGTCTGAGGACACTTTTGCTCATGGATTTGATGGGTCTCATCAGCCAGTGGCCCTTACGGCCATTCCCCACTTTCAAACAAGGCTGTTATCACTTCGAAGCCTGCCTCCTGCTCCCACCGAGGTCACCAGCAAACTGCGTGGCACTGACTGCGGTGGGGACAGGACCAAGCCCAGCATTGCTCTGTTAGACTGAGCAGTGAGTCGCTGTAAACATCAAGATCATATTTGTGACTAAGCAAGGCCAATCATGTTGTCTCAGGCAGACAGCTGAGCATGCAGCTATGCAGGCTCAAGAAGACAGAAAAGCCATGTTCCTTCCTCCAAACTGCAGCAAACACAGTGGGAAGCGATAACGGTTTTTTTTCTGAGCTCGTATCTTCCACCATCTCCTAATTTTAGCCTTTCAGAGTTTGGGAGCACCATGTCCCTAAGCATCCCTGGCCAACACATGACAAAATGTAAGCTATACAGGCTTTTAATAGAGTTAGGTCAGCAGGATATTAAAGCTTTTATTATGATCTCCTAATTGAGATTCCTTTAATAGATGAACAGAATCTAAACTGTTTTTACCCCTTTGCCTTAGTTTTGAAAGACTACTCAATTACACGGGGATTGGGGAGTCCTCAAGTAGTAGCACCTGAGCCACAACAGGTCCTGGCCACCACCAAGTGTCCCCTCTCCTCCTCCTCCATTCTGTTTGCTGGATGCAACCACCACACACACGGTAAGCGCTGCAGCAAGCACTCGTCCTCCATCCCAGGAGGAAAACTGAAGACAACAGTGATCTAGACAGTAGGTAGCATTGCAACAACTGGTAAATGACGGCATGAATTCATCACTGTGTACCCAGCGAGGTATAAAGACACAGGTTAGAGTCAAGCCCTCCAGACAGGCTCTCTCCAGAATGCCTTTGCTTCCATCCTCGCTTCGTCCAAATAGGATGCTTGGCTGCTGAACACCACCCACAGCAGCAACGCGCCTTTTTGGTTTAAGATCCTTCAGACAGCAAATACGCTGGTTTATTCCAGTTCATGATGGGAAGCGGGGGAAAAAAGTGTCACACCCTCCTGAAATATGGTCACCTACAGTCCGTTAAATTTATACGGCATTCAAAAAGATCCGAGAGAAGGAACATGGCTTTTGTGTGCAGACTGACAAAAATGCATGCACGTTTCATAGCAATACTGTCAAACCTCCTGAATAATTTAAGAGCAGAGCAAGCTCTTGAAAATGCAGATTACTATGGAGTAGAGAAAAGCAAAGAACTACATTTTATGTTTCCTTTGCAAAGGCATTTCAAATCTCTATTCTGTGGCTCAGAAGAATTGTTCTGGTTGTATGGGGCAGCAACACTTGTCTTCAAGTCAAAACAAAGGAAAAATAATTGGGTTTAGGTAACTAGCAGGGCTGCAGTTGTAACTCTCTATCAACTTTGCTGTGGTGAAATCCCCCACTTTAAGCATGAGAATTTCCTGACTGTGCGCTAGAAATCACAGCTTCTCTCCAGCATGGCTTAAAAATAGCTTTTAAAATCTACAGGTTTAGTGCTAGGTCTCTTCATTTGTGATCTTAGGTGGGACCTGAACCCAGCCTAGCAAAAGCTCTGGCTTTGTGTTGATGGAAAAGTTTTCATCCTTTGTGCCTGTATTATAGCATAAAGTTTAGAATTAAGCTAACTGACACAAAGAAATGATAGCAGGATAACATATTAGGGAAGAAACAACCCTCGTTGGATTTGCTATGATATCATTTATTTCTGTCTCTTCCTATGGAATTTGAGGATTCCCGATCAGCTCAGTGCCTCTCTCACGCTGTATTTTGCGCTCAGTCACACTACAGCAAATTCAAAGGAGCTCAGAAGGATCCAGGTGGAATTGCTCCAGTCAGACCCTGAAATAAAACTGTGACTACTATTCCCTTCTCCTTTTTTAAAAATGCATAATTTTATCTCTTGTAATATCTCTAATTGTGAGCTAACTGGAATTTAGCATAGACCACCTACATTATTGTTCTAAGAGCAAGTGGGAAACCCATTAAAACAACACACCCTTTACTTAACAGAAACATACAATTCTTTTGCATGTTCTTATAAAACTATTTAAATCCCAAATGGAAAAAAAAAAAGCACCAAAATACAGAATATTAGTAGCAAAGTAGTGAGACAATGCAATAATTTCAAATCCCCAAGACAGTGGTGCTGTCTAAAATTTGAGGAAAGCTTGTTAAGTTCAATGCTTTGCTTGTGCTTCATTGCTAGTTCCACAGTGACAGGACAGGGGACCATAAAGCATGGTAAAAGGGAGGGAGTGGAAAGGAAAAGCTTCACTATCAGACAAGGCTTCCAGTCACCACCAGACTGGACCGAGAACAACAAGGTGCAACAAGAGGAATTAAACCAAAGCCTTTTTTTCAAACAGCTGAGCTCCCCGCCAGTCCCTTCCTGAAGGCCTGAGTGATCCAAGAAAGGAAGCAGCCTTTTACCCCCTTGCAGGCAGATTGCATTTTTAAAAACCCCTCAGATATAGTCTTTCAATCCAATTCCACCAGCGGCCAACACCTAGAGGGGCTGGAGACACTGAGGTGGTTCAAATTCTGCTTCTTTGCACCTGGTGATTCTCCCTAGATAAAAAAAGTTACAGCTGAGAAGCCCCCTCGGATGCTAGAGGTAAAAGCCAGGCTAAATGAGAACAGCCAAGTGTTAACATCGTCTACAAATGGCATGTGGTTTGGGCCAGTAATTAATGTAATGAGGCAGCTTAATGCATCTCCCTTTCTTAAGAGGGGAGGGTGCAGCGGTGGGCAGGGTGAGGGGACATCCACGGTAGAGGTGATCGAGTCAGCAGCTGCATCATGATTCTGTTTGGAATTTTCTTTCCACCAGTTTTGATCAGTTCTAGCATGCTTAAAAAAAACTGCTCCACAGGCATGCAGAAGGATCAGCTGCTAATGGCATCTTACCCTCATCCCCTCAAATCGGGACAACGCTCTTAAAGGCCTCAAAGCTCTTAGTGTCCTAAGGGACTTTATGGCACCTAGTTCCGAGTAGCCCAAGGCATTAGCTATAAGGCTGACTAAAGAGACCTACACAGAAAATAGAAAAAAAAAAAAAAAAAAGAAAAAAAAAAGAAAAAAAAAAAAAACAAAAAAAAAAAGAAAGAAAGAAAGAAAAAAAAGAAAAAAAGAAAAAGAAAAAAAAGGTTCCAGACTGTTAGAATGAATCCCCTAGCACTGATTGCCCAGCCCAGACTGCCAGCCTGGGCCGCCCCCATAATAAATACCGAAGACATGACACCAGCTGCCTACTTCACTTGACTGAAACGACCTGGAAGGAAATAATGCGGTTGAGAAAGGCATAAGAAAAGAACATAGGGGAAAGATAAGTGAGAGAGAGGCAGAGACACACAGACGGAGAAGGGGTCTGTTGGAAGGAAGAGCCCAAACGATGACAAAAACCTTACCCTCGCCCTTTACTGTCTGCAGGATCCCAGCGGCTCCCATTAAATTTAAGCCAGACAAATTTTAAAGGTACCTAAGAGAAAGAATACAGATAAATACACACACTGCACAAACTGCGCTTAACTCGTCTAGCAAGCCACCGCGCTCACGCTGAGCGGTGGTGCTTCGTCCGTGGCCTTCAGGGACGCAGGGACGTGCCAAAATAATTCTGCACAACGTGAACACTGGCCCCGTCGCGCACAGCGCTGAGGCAGCCGATTCCAACTTTTAGTGCCTGGAAACCCAAGGATGGGTGTTTTTTCTGCTTTTAACACAGAGCGACTGCCGTGCAGTTTGGGTTTGGTTTTTTTTTTTTTTTTTTTTTTGCCTGCTTGAAGCCGCAGCGACATTTGTGAGCATCCGCGGGAAGATGAGGACGGGTAAACCCATCCTCCAGCCGGGCGAACCGAGGTGTACAGCAGCTGCGTGGTTGCTTGGGCTCATTTGCTGAAGCTATGACACAGCTGGGGACAGCTTGCTTACATCCGTTTTTCAACACCATAACCACAAAGACAACCCATTTTCTTTTAGCAGCCTGGAATCATATTTAGGCTCTACACCAAATATCCTTAACCAACCGGTACTGAGGGTTAATCCTGCAGGATTAAACCCGGTATTACCAAGAGCCTGAAAGCGTGGGGCCAGCTGCTTTTTGACCTGGCATGTGTGTTTAGGGCAGCAGTCCACTTCCCATGCCAGCCAAGGGAAAACTCTTTAGATTAGACCAGACATGAACTTGGCCATAGGTAAAGAGCATCTACAGACACCATTTCATCAGCATCCCACTATCTTCCATTTTTGGGTAGTATCACATTACAGACACAGATAAGAAACAGATATGTCAACCTTTTTTAAGGAAAAAAAAAAAAAAAAAAGACATCAATATACAGTAACAAATAATGGAAAAACATGAGACCTCCTCCTATAACAGGTGGGGGGTTTTAGCTTAATTCTCTGAATAGGACACTTCCTATTTATCATTCTTTTTTAAAAAAAGGGATATAATGTGAAATTAGTTATAAGGACAATTCTTATTCCACACAATAGTATAGGGAAATAGGAATACAGGGACATTTCAGGACTAGATTCCAAGTGCATGAACGTGCAGGAAAACTTAGATATTTCATCTTATTTTACTGTTTGTAGTTTACTGCACTATTTCATCTTATTGTACTGTTTGCTTCACGCTTTATCTGTCTTCATATCTGCCCCAAAATAAGTGGCCACAAAATATGGCAACATGGCACTCTGTTTTTTCCATCTGTTTTTTTGATTTTAAAATCACACTGACTAAAACATGCCAGGGGTGTCCCAAAGGTTTACAACAAAGCCTTTGTGAAGCAAAATCAGCCTGCTGAGGAAGGGACCAGGCCCACAGCAACACCGGTACGTTAAAGTCCTGGTCCCATAGTTCAAAATACGGATGGGATTTTGAAGTACGGGCCATAAGGTCCAAGTACAGAGAACTACAGCGTTTTACCCTGTAAATATGATCGAGGGTACAGGCCTCACTGATTCCTCACTTTTAGAGCTTCTTTCCCTTGGGATAACGGCTCGCTCCTGAGTAGGAAACTAACACAAAGGCGGGAAAGCACTAAAGGCTGTTTTAGCTTTCATGGGGTCTTTTCAGTATTATTCTCTCGGGACACTCCGACAGAAGACACAGCAGGCACCGGTGTCAGACAAAAGGAATTCCAGATTGACTGAAAAGCAGAAGCCTTCATTATTACCCAGAAAAAGACTTTGTCTTCACAAATACACCCAGCAAGCTTTGGGAATCAGAGGAGGAGGGTTATTTGACAATGCTATCAAACCTGAAAAATAACATTCAAGAGCGTTGTTATGAGGCAAAGGCTTATTCTCTATTAGTTACGGCTGCCATCCTGACTTCACTCAAACCCCATCTATGTCACATTAGAAAATTTGTTTAAAAAATGTGATTTAACAGATACAGGACACGATGCATAGCTGAGATTTTGTTGAGTAAAGTTTTGGCAGCTCAAATTCACATTTCGGATTTTTTTTGCAGACAAAAATGTGCAACCCTTCTGTCTACGACACCAAGTGAAAAGAGAAATTCCTCCTAAAGCGTTGGGAATTCAGGATCCTTGTACATATACACTCGTTGACTCCTTGTAAATGTGTTACCTGACTGGGAAGTTCCTTATCTTTACTCCACCAGCAGCCAAATACTTGGGAAGAAAATGAAACTTGTAACACACCTGTCAATTAAACTGCGTTTTGTTCCCCAACAACTGGAATTCAACTCACAACATGAAGCAGCATAAGGACTATGAATGCTATTTTTGTGCTCAGCTGCTGGTCGTCTTTTTAATTCAATACCCCAAAGAATTTCATTTGCTGAAACACTCTCCTCAAAGCAGTACAGAAGAATAGATGGTAGCTCACATTAGTTTCCATGTTAGCACTTGTACTTCATCTTAAGGCAGTGAAAGAGATTATTAACAGGGTTATTTTCAGAAAAGAAGAGTTACTACTTCAAGATGTGTTAAAAGGAAAGGTGTTAAGGGGATCAGAGAGGACTTTTTTAAAAAAAAAAAAAAAAAATAAAAATTCAGTTTTCCACAGGAAACGTAGACATCTTGAGTCACTTCTGCCCCTGAATTCCCAGCATAGTTTCTCCACCTACTCAGAAATATTTCCAGAGTGATAATGTCACTGAATAGCAACTTGGCATAACTGAATCATATTCAAAATGTTCCAAATGAGAAGCTTGGAAAAATTATTATTTTTTTTAAATATTTGCTCTTGGAGCATTCACAAGGACACTGATTCACAACTGGATGTGATGGAACAATTTAAAAGAATCCAAGCACTTGGGATTCTGAAGTTCCTTTTTTTACAATTCTTTGGACTTCAGGTCCTATTGAATTCTATAATTTCCTGCCACTTTTGACAGCATGAATTCCATTTATTTTAAATGCCCTTGCCATGCTTTGGAGTAAAATTTTTTGCTAACACTTCTCTCTATTGTCTTTCTTCTGTTCGTTCTCAAATTTATTCTCCCTACCAAGATGCTCTGCAGGGGAATTCCAGGGTGATCATGTGCTGATCTGTCCAGACTGACCATTTCCCTTGTTCACGCTATGATCTCTTATCAGCAAGCTGGTTTTGTTGGTTTATACGGTCCTGTTTTTTCTCTCCTGGGCATCAGATCTTTTTAACAGGAGGAGGATGACGTTGAACTTCCATTTTGCATAACAAGCTTTCAAAGTACTCAGATTTTCACAAATATATGCGCCCAATGTTCAGATCTCGTTAGGTGATAGGCTGGGAAGATTTTGCCTGCCTCACCATCCCCCTGTTGTTAACAACGCAAGCAAATGATTCCAGAAAGAGGGTGTCACCAAGGAATAGCTTGTCTGCACAGGTTCTCCCCCTGCTAACGCCTTCTGGTAGCTCAACATCTGGGCTAAGCCTCTTAGAAACAGTATTTTCAGCAGAGCAAAGGTGCCAAGGGCTGGAGCCCCCTCCTTTGTCCCTGCAGGCTCATTAGGACCTGCAGGGCAGAAATTCCAGTTGCATATGGAATCCTAGCAATACGCAAAGGGCTCAAGGGTTTTATCCTTGTTTTGGAAGCTCATAGATACCTGGGATTGAATCCTCATTAAACATATGATTCAGTAAGGACACTCCTCAGGAGAAAACATTACCCCAGCACTCTTCTAACCAACATTTTTTTCCAACCAGAAATAAGGAGGAGAGGATACATACAGCCACAATGAGGAAATCCAGCCAGCACCAGGCATTAGTGAAGAACTTGACGAATCCGTAAGCGCACCATTTCAGCAACATCTCCAGGATGAAAATGTAAGTGAAGACCTTGTCCGCATACTCCAGGATGGTCCGGATTGTTTTCCTCTGTTCTATGTAAATATCCTCAAAAGCCTGGAAAATAACCAGGTACTTGTGTCATTATATCGGATTTATTCCATAGTTCAGTGTTGGTAACCAGAAGCTTATTCAAATGATACTGAGATGAGCACAGGAATTATGTTTCTTATACCTTATCTGCTCTAGTAGTTGCAACACCGCAACGCCAAACCAAAAATAAATAAATACATAAAAACAAAAAAGGGAAGTCCTGAAACAAAAGCTTCTCTCCCTTTTGGGGATCTGAGCACAAGCCTTTGCATCGAAATGTTCAGCAACTGGTATCACTACAGTAGCACACAGAGGCAGGTTTTCTCTGCAGCTCAGCACATCCAAAAGGGCCGAGTTCATTGGCAATCAGAGTGCTAATTATTACGGAAGCTGGGCACGCAGAGAAAACCAGGCTACTACTGTGGGATAGGAACTGTTGTGGCCTTCTGTCCTAAAACTCGTGAGTAACACGTGCTTGGAGCTGTTTGTTGTATAACCCTGCCTACTAAACAGCGTGCTGTGTGAAAACAGAAACGGTGATTACTTGTGATACCATGAGGTCAAGAAGCTCTGCAAGCACGGGAAAGTGAAGAAAGGGAAATATAAATATTCTTGTTTGGTAATGTGAAAATGAGACATAGATACAGGCTGACTTTGTCCAAAATCCTCACATTTCTAGTCAAGCTATGATCAGAACCCAGATTTGCAGGCTTTCAGTCTTCATTCTTAATTTAAACACACCAAAAATAATTAATAAAGGCTTTTATACAATACCTACTACAACGGAGCTATGTTGTTTTCCAGGTAAGAGACATCATAGCTTGCTTTGTCACCAAATTTCCTATACACAGCTTTCCCGATTAGATGTCTCCTAGCTGAACACCACTGGGCTACACATATTTCTGTATTTTACTCACCAGAGCACCACTGCTCAGTAGGATCATAAAGATGATGAAAGTCTCAAACCAATTATGTTCCACAATCAGAAAACAAGTCTTCCTCAAGGTCCACCAAGACTTCCCCAGTCCCTCCTCAATATTGACCTGACAACATTTACAGCGCTGCGTACAACCTGGAAAGGGGGATAGTGCACAAAGGAGTATGAGCCCAAATTCTGTTAGGTAACAGATCATTTAATGTAAGACCATAAAATTGTCAATGTTGAGAAGCAGTCTTGATGCCAACAATATTAAACATGCCGAATTTCAGCTAAAACTCTTGTGTTCTTGAGAATTTTATGGTTACTTATGCCAATTTTGTGTCTGGGCACCTGAATTAACATCAATTTGTGAACAGATTAAGCTCGTTATATTTGGTGAAGTATCCATGCACTTGACAGAAGAGGAATGGAAAACTTGCTGATAAAATAACCTTGAACCATTTAAAATATCTTTGCCATGGGAATACCTCTAATGGATCAGTTGCTGAAAGACATTGAGGCCAGTGACAGAAGGGGAAAAAAAAAAACAACCAGAAGCCAGATTCTTCTGCTTCTAAGTTCTCAAGGTATCAGTTGTACAAAAGATCAACTTGCCCTACCTATACGTCATCTACATCCTTGCAACAGCAACTACATCTCCGAGGCCTTCACTTTGCAAATTCTTCTAAACTAGTTCACCTGTGATTCAAGGAGGTCCAATAAGTGTCTCAAAATACGCTGACAGCCAGACTTGATCCAGACCGAGACCCACCCTCAGGGTAAGCTTGCAGTAGCCAGGTCCCCAAAACAGCTCAGGGGCTTCTTTCTACCCTCCCAGTTCACCTTACCTTCTGTGAAGCACGCATCTGGGTCCAGGTACTCCTCTGGTGCCTCCACAGGGACTTCTTCCACTTCAGGCTTTATATCAATGGTGCTACCTTCAGAAGAGCTGGTATCATCAAGTTTCTTGAACACAAAACAAAACCCAATCCAATCTATAATTAGTTCCCAACAAATGTCAAACGCCTTGATGACTCAGCAATTTATTCACCAGATTTACTGTAACAAAAACTCTCCCTTCATCTCAGTAAGGCCCTGACCCAGCTTACATCTCATGTTAACAGGACAGACAGTATAAAGTATTTACATTAGATATATTTACAAGTATTTGTGGCTCTCTATAGAGCAACTAGCACAAGAAATTTCTGTCTTGAGTGCAATGACAACATCTGAATATAAACAGGAGTTTTGTGCTGGAACTAGCTAGTTCTCCCTCCCAAGATGCTTCCAGGCACTCACACGAGGGTCAAAAGACTAGAAAGAATTTTTAGCATTTCATCCTACCTCTTTGCTGCCATCAGGATCTGTATCACTGCTGAAATCTTCTGTGTTGAGATTTTCAAAATCTGATTCACCTACAGCAATAGGTACCCGGACAGTGAGATTGGGGTTATTGATGAAGGACATGTGATCTTCATCTATTATGTACTTCTCCACACTGCTCCCAATTCCACTCGTCGTGCCATTGCCATTCTTCTGATAATCGATGTCTCTGTTGATATCAGCCCCTGTATGGTTAGCAATGCAGTTCACCTTCTTGTCGTACAATTCATCCAAGGGTTTGACCTCATCTGCCTCTCTCTGCTTGAAATGAGCCTGCATGAACTCACGCACTTTCGCCTTGGTCCAGGCAATGCCCTTCTTGATGCGAATAACAGAAATCTGCAGGTTGTTCATCTCCCCATCATCATCCGTGGCTGCTAAGTTGTCTGCGCTGAAGGAGCTCAGTAGCAAGGCCAAGAACAGGTTCAGCACCTGAAAGAGAAGAGGTCGCGTTTGGCAGAGCCGGCACACAGGGGTTGTATTTCCAAAGCTCAATACGAGTCTTTAGCCACCCAAGTCCTGCTGATGTCAAGAGGGGCTGCAGAGCTATGTCTCCAAACACCACGCTGAGAACCAGCTCCGGCGTCCCACAGACCTCTGGAGGGACCCAGGGCTCGAGGAACCACTGATCCTGCAACGCGTTCCATGAGCGGTGGGGGGGCCTGTGCAGCACATCGCTGCCCTGGCGTCCCAGGGGCTCGGTGCAGGCAGAAGGGTCCCTGACACAGAGCCCCTTGCAGCACCCAGACTGCAGATGTTAGAGAGGGATTTAAGCAGCAGCCACCCAAGGGATTCAAATTCACCGTTACTGGTTTAGTCCCATCTCTGGCCCAAAGGAAATGGGTCAAATCTAGGCATTTTGAGTGATCACTCCCAGATCTATTTCCTTGGCCACATCTAGTGATAGTCCCCAAGACTGACTTTGTCAAAATCCCTTGGTGAGACAAGTCCCCTCAGAGGGCTCACAACACTACTTTGAAGACATACAACTGCTGACACTACTTCATTCTTGCTTACATTTTCCTCCATAGACTTCACAAAATTTAAGACCAGAAGGAAACATCATGATCTAGTCTAACCTCCCACACAACAGGCCATGCAATTTCACCAGCAGATTCTTGCACACAACTATACCTCATGATTGAGCTAGTGGGCAGATTTTAGAAGAAACTTCCAACCTGATTTTAACACTTCAGGACCTTTTCCTGCGTACCAAATTATTTCCTCTCCCGGCATTTGAAAATCCAGGTTTTGCTTCTTTAAAGCTTCTTTTACCCTCTCAGGCAAGGTGTGGGTCTGTCCCCTTTGACTGAGGGTTTCTTACCTCCAGCTTTTATTGCAAAGTGCTTGGATGCTTTATTTGTGGGCAACTGTTTAAGACCCTAATCAAGCAAAGCACATCCTTAATATTGTGCTACCAAAGCCAACAGGACTCTTCATGTGTCAAAGGCCATGAAGGACCCTAACAGAGCTGGAACAGACTCACAAATCATCACTCCCTAGTCCTGTGGTCTCCCCATGTTCTACCCCACCCGGAGGCAACCAACAAAGACCATCAGTAACCATTTACTGACCACTAAATTTCCGATGACCATGACCATCATGAAGACAATCAAGCACATGGCCTGTCCTGCTACTTCCATACAATCCCACATGGTCTCAATCCATTCCCCACACAACACACGGAAGACAATAAGGAAGGAGTGGAAGAAATCGTTCATGTGCCAGCGGGGTAGCTCACACTCCGGATTGATCTTGCAGACACACTCCTTGTAGCTTTTGCCGAAGAGCTGCATGCCCACCACAGCAAAGATGAACACGATGATGGCTAGCACCAAGGTCAAGTTCCCCAAAGCACCCACTGAGTTACCGATGATTTTTATCAGCATGTTCAGAGTGGGCCAGGACTTGGCCAGTTTGAAGACTCTCAGCTACAAAAAACCAAAAAAACAAAAAACCAAAAAAACAAAACAAAAAGCAAAACAGACAAATGACACTTAATTTAATTTCATCTCGAAGAGAAAAATCAGGCAGAATTTTCTAAATGGCAGCCATCTTTTATTTTACGTAACATAAGCCCATGCTTCTGAAGTCAGTGGGAGTAGGGAATGCTTGACTTCTCTTTGAATTTGTCCTCCGGGATTTTGTACTTAAGTTATCCCCGACATGGTGATCTCCTTTTACAAAGGAGAAGGATGGAGCTTCCATCTTGCTTTGCAAACTTTGCAACATTATGGAAGTCAGAAGACTTATGTGAAGTGTGTGTGTCTCAAAAAATTACTTTTTTTCTTTACTGAATGCTTCTCATCTTCCCCTGGAAAAAAAGGACTTTTTTTCCTGGCATATCCAGAACACACAATCAAAGTTTAATTTCCAGAGAATTTAATTTGGAGACAGACTTTCTGAAGTTGGATATAAACAGGAGCTTCTGAGTCTGGAAAATCTTTGGAAAATCTGACCACAGTTGTGGTTCTCCATGCGCAAAAATCTCACCTTGATATCTTTTGATATCTAGTCTTGATATCTTGAATCTAACTTTTCCTAATACAATTTTCAAAAGCTTAACCACTGCCACTGACAGCACAAGTTAAAGCACACAAAGGCTGTAGGCATTCAGCACTTTTCTTATACTGTAACATACAACCTACCAGATTTGACCACATGAAATGAGGTGCATTCTAGCATGGTCCATCTCCATCCATATTAAGTACTCTACACCAAGATACCTCCCAAGTTATCCTTCACTGCCTAAATACAATGAGCTGTTTCTCAGATCTTGTAAACAGCAGTTGTGAAATAAGAAGAGGCCACAAAAATTACACTACTCCATCTCCATCCTCCCCAAAATCAGAAAAAAATTGGGTTTGCCTTTTCTTATGTAAAAAGCTTTCTAGTAGCTCCAAGATAGTAACGTTCAAAAAGAACTGGAATATGGAATACCAGTCGGAAAGATCGCAGCACAGAAAGTCCTTCCACATCTGCTAGGCCCAGTTCCATTAAACTGAGGGAGACAATAAATCCATCAAAGATGTTCCAGCCTTCTTGGAAATAATAGTAGGGATCCATGGCAATGAGCTTCAGGAACATTTCTGCTGTGAAAATTCCAGTGAAAACCTGAAGTGGTGAGGAGAGGGACAGACAAAGAACAGGCAAAGATTCGCTTTTGTTCATTTTCTAATCTTCACGCTAAATATCAAACAATGCAATTTGTCACACCAATTCAAAGATGCAGCCTATGCAATGCCATGTACTTGCCTGCTGCAGTCTTTCCTCCTCCTGTGCAGCACAAACATCATTGACCCACTCAGGCATACTGGGAATTAACAGATGGGTCTTAAAGTAGTAACAAACCCTGACCAGAGAAGTGCACCCTTAGCAAACATCTCTTGAGCTGCCAGTGACTGCAGTGAGGGCAAGCTCATGCTGCTCAATGTCCTCTAGAGTCCGGAACACCGGTGCTTGCAGTCTAAGTCTACATTAACAAGCAGCGTATCCCAGCAGGAGCAGATCTGTAGGGAATATTTACCAATACTATCTTACCAGATTTCCTACGGAGAGCACGTGTTCAAACTCTGGGGTCATAGGGTGGTGCTCCATGGCCATGAACAGAGTGTTCAGCACAATACAGATGGTGATGGCCAGGTCAACAAAAGGATCCATGACAATTAAGTTCACTATCTCCTTCAGCTTGATCCAGTACGGGTGGCATTCCCAGATCAAGAACGTGTTGGCAAATTTGTACCAGCAAGGGGGACACTTCCTCTGGGACTCTTCCAGCTCTACAGTTACAAAACAAAACAGCAGCAGAGTTCAGTCTCCACCTCTAAGGCTGCTGGATCTGTCTGACACTCAGCACCGCTAAAATACTGTCCGATCTTGCCTGTTGTGAACCCCTTTCATGTCTCCCTGCTTGCACAAAAATTCAATATTCTTAGGCCAAAGATACGTTTTGTTTTATGTACATACAACACTCAAACCAAAAGAACTCCAGGATGCTTGGCAATAGCTTAAGGCAAAGAGTTACTAGGCTATGAACCTTATGGCCACGGCCAATCATGAAGATGGCCATGACAGAAGAGTCGGGTCGAGTCTTTGTACGGAGCTTCGCTGACTTCTCCTCTGTCCCTATGCAAGAGCTACATCACACCTGCACGAGGTCACCGGGAAGTGCAGTTCTAAACCTCTGTGACAGCCCCACGTGGCTCTTATGAGTCAATCTAAATTATTTCAAATGAAGGGATATATTTAACTCAGAACTGATCAAGGTAAAACGGTTTAAATCAAAGTTACAGATTCAAAACTGTCTTTGGTGCCAGTTTTTAAATAACTTAAATGAATTCTGTGCTGAATGCAGACATAGTCTAAAAGAGGAAATATATGACATAATGCTGCATAGGATTTTAACCAGAAATAACCTGATTAGGACAAACCACATCCTTTTACAGAAATCAAACACGATGCTGCGTCCATTTTTTTACACTGGCTTATTTCAAGTGCTTAGGGGGAAAAAAAATAAAGATCGGGAGTTCCCTCCCTCTGTTCTTTGACTTGCAATGGCTCCATTCAGGCTATACAGCTGTTCATGCTGAAGTTTTATTTTTTTATGGGTAGGGAAAGGACCACTGTACTCTCTTTCTCATTGGTTCTTTGGTTGCTTAGTATTTAGTTGCCTTGGAATTTCTAAAGTTAAAAGAGAGGACCGTAGCACTGTAGCCTGTAGGCGTTTGCGCAGGAGGGAAGCAGCAGCAGAACCTTGCTCTGTTTCTAAGTATATTTAGTTTTCATACAATTTTATTGCAGGAGACAGCAGGAATTTGAGATCATCAACCTCATACGGCTGCTGTTCATAAATTCTTGCTGGCTCCTGCATAACATATTTGGAAATCTCATCTCCGTGTGCTGTCCATTTCAGAATTTCCGTCATCCAGAAGTCCCTTTCTCTTTTGACAGCTGTCACGTTTCAGCTTTTAGCGTAGCTCAAATCTTTTTCTCCCACGGACTGTAAGCAAAGGAGGGTCCCTCCAGTCCTTGGGAGATGGCAGAAGACAGAACATCCATATCAGACATCGTCTTACTCCTATAATCTCCACACTGCATATTCATTATTGTAAAATTACAACTCCTTGTTGTCTTTACCTCTGTATCTATATAATTCAGATGCAAAACCAAGTAAAATAAAGTTTAATAAGTACTTCTGTATCAGGAATGACCCAAAAGAAGGAGGTTTAGGCAAAATCAATGCACGAATAGGTACTACTCGAAAGCAGGGACAGCTGAATTCTGTACACCTGAAGGGCACGCGCGTCCTCTGGCAGGTACCCACCGCTCAAACCTGATCTCTGCTGCGCAGCGCTTGCCCGAACAGAGGGGGCCTGTGCGGGGCCGGCGCTCCCCCCACCTGCACCCCTCACCCCGCGCCCTTACCCACCCCCTGAGCCACGCCAAGGCCATCTCACCAAGTTCCACGGGGCCATTCGGCATCCTCTTGGCCAACCTGAGCGGCCACGGGGGTCCGTGCCCGTGTTTTGTGACCTCTGGCCGCGCCGAGGGACAGCCAGCACGGCTCCAGCCCAGGGCAGATGTGGGGTGAGGAACTGTCCTCCAGGTGGATGGGTGCTGTCTTCCTACAGCACACCACGAGAGGGCAATCGATACATACAGACGGAGAAACACCAAGGGCACACCTTCGAGCCAGACCTACCCTCAACTAGGGTGTTTGTCAAGCCAGTCATGACGCTGTTGGTTCGATCCTTTCTTCCATAGGACGCGTTCACCTGATCCATCGAGACCAAGAGAGACCCACCAGGTTTCTTTCGAATTTCGATTTCAGTAGTACCCTGCAAAATTCCCATGATGATTAATACAAACCCTTTGCCTTCCCAGTACTTTACATACTCTCAGCCTAGAAATAAGGCACATATGCCCAAGACAGAAAAAAATCTTTGCTCCTGCTATCCTTCTCACTTTTCTACCATGGTCAAACCAAAACTCAAGGCCTCATTTTTGCTAGCACCAGTGCTTTGCAGCCTTAGACAAATTAAGGACTATATTTTAAAGAATATTTCTAACAAAGACCACTGTGGTACAAAGTATTTTACACTCTGTACTACTACCAAACAGAGACGGGCAGCGACTCTTATAACCAGGCCACTTTACAACCCTTGACCACTTTATGTCTGGCCAGAGTGTGAACTCCACCCCAGCCCCCCTGAGCCACTCAAACTAACAAGGTTTGGGAACCGAGCATTTGACAGTATCAACACTTATTTCAAAATCTGCATCTGAAAATCAGGATAAATGAAGCTCAGCCACATCACCGTCTGAGAACTAGCGGGGATTCCTCCCACTCTAGCCCACTGTGAAGCTGATTTTCTAACACAATTGCGATACGAAACCGCGTCTCGATTTCACCCTTGGGAAGGATCACCTCGTTCCCCTCAAGTCAAAGAGCTTGCACTTCTACAGGCACCTCGCAGTTTCCCTCCCAAGATTGCTCTGGAAATACCAGTCTCTGCTAGGCACAGACAATCTTGTGTCCTAACAGATAACTGGGCTTTTTTCCTCATTACAGGAATTTGCCACTGTCTGCTTGTGAACCAAGGTCCCTGCACAGCACATGCAGCTCTCCCGCCAGGACAGTTAATTGCTTGTTGCATGTTGAACTCTCTCTATGTATAGAATTAGCAAAAGAACTGCTAAGTAATACTTGTTCTTCTACGCATGCATCATGCAGATTACTATCCCTACCAGGCTCATGCTGTGTTAGAAAGAGAATTAAATACTGAAGCAAAGCATTGTATTACCATGCTAACTAGGGAAGAAAGAAAACAGGTAGCAACTGATGCTTAATATAACTAATTATGGTCAAACAGGTTGCAAGAATTGAAATAACTAAAAAAAAAAAAAAAAATAGCTTGGAATTTATAGGCACGGTAACCAGACTTTTCTCAGAAACAACTGATTTAGCTATCTCTCAAGTGACATCGTTTCAATCTCATCCAGATTCTTTTAATCCCACTAACTAATATCCTATTTTTTAAGCTTTGTTTCTCTCTTGCATTCCAAGATGTTGAGGCACTAAAAAGGTTACTCAATATCAATTCGGTCAATTAATTACAAAAAGTTGGTCAAGGAAAATTCAAAAATAATATTTTTAAAAAAATCCTTATTTTACTAATAGCTTCCTGCGTAAAATTTAGTAAGAGTTAAAAGCCTGTTTGTATGTCCCTTTAAATCCCCAAATATTTTATCTTACAGTGGAGAAAATTTGCAACAAACTTTTGTCGGTTTCCCAACCCCCGTGCTTTAAACACCTCCTCATGAATTGCCCTGACGTACACCAAGGGTTCCTACTACTATCAGTCCTTTAATTAAGGATCCAATTCCAAGCCTTTTTTTTCCCAGGAAGCCAAGGGGAGGAGGAGGAGGTGGGTGATTGAGTTTGAGAGGGAAAGAAAGGGGAAGTTAAAGCACGGGGTGTTTAACCCGATGCGGACTTTATCGCCTGCGGTCAGACAGACCGACTCTGGTCCTCGAAGGGCGGCAGACAGGAGGGGAGAGGAGGACAGACCGCCATGCCCGCGCGGCCTCCTCACTGGCTTCCTTACACTGCCATCGGGAGCTGCCTTATCTGTTTTCACCTCAGGCAGAAGGCGTCCCCCAGGCATGCTGGAAGGCGGGCCGCCGATGAGGGACACCACGCCGTTGCAATCCACCGTGCTGTTCCTCTTCACGTTTCGGCGGAGGTTGGGGAAAATCCGCGAGGACCGGCTGCCTTGGCTGTAGCCGCTGTAGCCGCTGTAGCTGCTCCTGCGATCGCGGCCGCGGATGGGGATGAAGAGGGAGTCTCTCCTGCCTTCGCTTTCCTCCACTGTGCTGTGCTCGTCATCGGCAAACTCGTTCTCCGAACCTGGGTCACGGAATCGCCCTTTGTAGCTGAAGATGCTGCTCTTGCTATTGTGTCGGGAGAGAAAAGGGGAGCCTGGGATACTGAGGAGAGACTAGGAGGGAGAAAAGAAAGAAGGACAACAGCGTGAATAGTAGGGAAACAAAGCACTGCAGTGCTGTCAAGTGCTGCTGAAGTGGTTTCGCTCCCTCTCCAGGTCTACGCAGACCATCACCACTTAGTCGGCGGTTACACTTTAAGAGCTGTTCACTCTCGCCTAGCTGAGCTACGGTGGGGAAGACGTTATCTGGTTAGATTCACTGCTCTCGGCAACAATTTATGCCAGGGTAAGTGTGTGCAAGGGCTGTAATCTCAGGCTGTAAGTGTCCTCCTGCTTCACTGCAAGTTTAAGATGGCGGGCAGATTCCTTTGACGTGCTAACCAGGACCTAAACTAGAACATTCTCCTGACTACAAGCAAGCATAAATATTAGTAAAGGAAATGAAAACTACCTGGTTCATGATGGAAAATTTCCTTCCTAGCCTGTTATCGGGTAGCCTGAACGCTTTCCTCCTCATGCCATCCTCAGATTCAGACTTGAACACCTTTTCATTGTCACACTTCTCCTCTCCTTCTGACAGTTCCTTGTCCTTTCGTTTCTTCCTCCTGTTTCGACGCTCCTTGGCGCTCTTGGAACTCAGTTTGGAAATCTCCGAGGAGCTCCGAGACATCCTCCCCCCACCATCGTCTTCCACAGCATCTTCAGAGACTGTCCCTGCCGAAGTGACCATAGCGGCAGCCTGAGGGTGTAGGCAAGAGAAGGGGAAAATAAATCAGATCTTACCATGATTAATACTCCATTTTCTGCTTTAAGAAAGAGTGTGGCTTAATGCGTGTAAGTACAAGTCTTTGGGGTAGGATTGAGATGCTTATTCTCTCTCTTGGAAGAAACTTGCAGCCAGGACTTGTAAAAATTTTCATAGTCTCCTTTTGCAGGTAGTAAAATCTCTCTCAGTCCCTCAGCTTTGCTTATAAGCATTTGATAAATGACCAAGAAAGATGTACTTGTATGTCTTGCAAAGATATTCCCACACTTATCTAGGAACTCTGGGAACATTTAAAATTTTCTTAATAGGAGGGAGCTTTTCAGTACAAAATAAACACAGCAAGCTTGCATATAATTCAGGAAAAAGCAGGGAAGATAGCGCACAACGTCACCCCAGTCAACAGAGGACGAGATGCCAGGGCCAGCCAGCCGTGGCATTGCTGCATTTTTTGATTATACATCACTTCACTGTAATAACAGGCAAATAAATCTTAAAACAGGCAAATGCATCAAAATGTATACAATCAAAACACTCACCTGTGCTTCTTCCTGCTGCTTTTTCAACTGTTCTAACATGGCCTTAAATTCTGCCTCCTTCTGCTCTGCCTCCTCCAATGTGGCCTGGTTCTGCTCTTCATAAGCCATGGCTACCACAGCCAAAATCAGATTAACCAGATAGAATGATCCCACAAAAATCACCAAAACAAAGAAGATCATGTAGGTTTTTCCTGCTGCTCGTAAGGTCTGGAAGTAGAAACAAATAGTAAAGGGAAGAGAATGGGAAAGGGGAAGGCAATCTCAGAGTGACACCTGATATCGGAACTGATCCCAAACTCCTTGACCCGAATGCTTCTAAGAAAATACAGTGGTGCTGAATAATTAACATCTCAGCATTTCCACTGCAAAGCACTAAGACACTGCACACTCATTAGCCATAAACACAAAAGGTGACATCCCTCTTCTTCTCTTAAGGGAACATCCAACGGATGCAAACAGAAAATGATTCAGAAGTACAGTGTGAAACTCAATGCTTAGACTCCCTTAAAACAAAACCAAATAGAAGAAAAGCCATTTCAGCAAGGTCCCCAAACCATCCTCAGGTTACAAGGAAACACTTTGCCCTCCAAAGCACCTGAGCACCTTCTGTGAGCAGAGCTGAACTGCTCACAGTCTTCTGCAGCAGGAGGTCAGGTTCTTCCAGAATTAATTCACAGTTCAGCTGTACACACGCTGAGGACCTCCCATCCCTTCTGGACTTAAAAGTCCAACACCCGCTTACAGGTAATGTCCCCTCCTGCCTCAACACACACTATCTCATTGTGCAGCTTGTAGTTACTCTTCCAGATAGAAGGAAGAACATAAAGCTTGTCATGTTTTCCTTTCCTGTATCGTCCCCAAATTCTCATCTTGTATAACACCGAAGCAAAGTGTTTACTTACTAATTGATACAGGTTTTCCCAAAAGTCCTGAGTCATAAGGCGAAATAAAGCCAGAAAAGCCCAGCTGAAAGTGTCAAAGCTTGTGTAACCATAGTTGGGGTTCCGTCCTGCTTTCATGCACGTGTAACCCTCCGGACATTGACTGTGAAGAAGACGACAGCCATTTCAGGGCACCAAGGCAGCGAAAGGGATAGAGCAAGTTGACAACACACACATTATCCATGCTGACAGAGGTTTTCACAACTCTCGGAATAATAAACGGCATGTATTTTGCTTTCTGTGAGAGTAGCAGACAAGGAGACTGACAGACAGGATTTCAGAAAAGCCCTGCTATCTTTGTCCTACGGAAACGAGGTGAGGCTTTTCACCCAACGCGAGCCAGAAGGACTAGCTTTCGCCACAGGTGTCTTTAGAACAGAAGGACGGGGTGAAAAACCAACTGGAGGCAACGGCACACGGAAAGTTTCCATTTCTGAACCTCCATCCCCTACTTCTCTGATGATTCTTAGATTGGATTCAGAAGGAAATAATGCCACTAGTAATCATTCTGCCTCTTGAGATGACACGAAAAATGTCAGCATTTTTAAGTAAAGGAAATTAGAAAATGTCAGCATTTCTCATGTCATCTCAAAATTAGTCAAACAGATAGTAACAATGGATTAATAATTAGATTAAGAAATGTGAAACCTATTACATGTGAAATAACACCAGAACCAACAAAGGAAGAAATAGGAAATATTCGAAAGGTTTTGCTATTGTTAGCCAACATCAATGGTAATTAGAGTCTCCACTTTTAATAAAGCTCAACACTCACCCTGCATCTGAGCTGTTACCACAGAGCAAAGGATCAGGGGCACCAGGAATTATGTAAAAATTTGCTGAAGAAGATGAAAAAGAAAAGATTACATGCACACACATATGGAGTTAGAGGATTCAACATGCTATGCCACTATAAAACCCTTCACTTAAGAGCCCTCTAGAACCCTTGCTGTTAAATTTATCAGTAAACTAACACCACTTTAAATAACATTAATCCCTCTAACTGTGCCTGAGCTGAAGCACCTTTCTGGAAGACAGTAAAGCATTTTGAATAAATATTTAAAACTAGCTGACTGCACAGTAGAGAAGCTCAAAGTGAGAAGGGAGGAGGAAATTAAGTTACAAAAACTTGGAAGCTGGTTCCTTGATCATCTGCAGCATCATTTACAGCTCTGAAATCCTGCCAGCGTGGAAGGATGTTGCAAAGCAGAAACAGGTACCAACAACTTCATGTGCATCTTCTGAAGAAGTCGGCAAAACTAAGTGAAGGCCCTGACATTCAGCCCAGGGATTTAAATGGGCAGTTACTTCCCTTTTACCACATTTAAACAGTTTTGAATTGGAAACAAAACAGAAAAAAAAAATACATTTTTGACAAAATATTTAGCTAAAAGAACACAGCCAAGACCTGCTAAAGGATGAACCCAACTAGAAACACCTTAACAAGGTCAGATTCCTAAAAACTGAAAAATATCTGAGCAAGGGGTTTTCACTGCGCAAAGCTGGACACATCACAGGATAAGCCACGTCAAAAATCCTGGTTAGCAGCATGAAGCCAAATAAGAGGGTTTTAGGGAGTATCACTGCAGAAATACCTACACATATTGTTGGTGTATTCCTCCCAGTCAAAGCCCTTAGAGCCGTTATCCAGGAAAGTCTCATTCACATTAATTGGCCATATCACACACTTGTTCCTTAAATTGCCCATAAACAGCTGCAACCCGATCAGAGCAAAGACACTGAGACAAAATACTGTCAAGATCATTACATCTGACAGCTTCTTCACAGACTGAATTAGGGCACCCACAATGGTCTTCAAGCCTGCAGAGAAGAAAACGAGACTAGAAATCACTCCTGCAGAATGAAAAGACATTGAAAATTCAAACACATACAGTGCCTTATAACTGCTATATGGTGGCAAAAGATTGGTGCTATGAAACAGTTGGGTTCCTGGGAACCACCACTTGCATTCAGGTTTTGACACATAGTACCATGAAGGTGAGGAATGAACCAAGCTCACCGGTTTCGATGGTGAACTAGCAATAGTCAGAACCAAACAAAATACCAACACTCCTCCCTGAGAGTATCTGAGCCTTGCAGCAGAGGATGCAAAGCACACTCAGGAGTCACTGCCATGAAAGCAGGGTTTGTCTAAACAAAGATGTTAAATTAAGATACACTGCTACAAACCTCTCCATGGACACGTTTAGTTGTGTTTAAGCCTGGCTTATTGGCACAAACTACAACAACTTACAAAGATCAAATACCTTTCAAACTGTCTACATCTTAAGTTTCTACTGTTTAACTAAACTGTTTCAGCACTTCCCCTTTTCTTGCGGGAGCTGAATCTTTCATTTGGAACATGGGTTTTGTTACGTGTAGGGCAGGATTTCATCCAGACTGCTGGCTCTTCGGGTTTTACCAAGGCCGTCAGGATCATTAATAGGCAGGGCCCAATAATAAAAGTAAGCTCAGGCATAAGCCAAGAATCCTGCTGGTTTTCCAAACCAGTCTGGTCTGTAAGAGGAACCATCCATGAACTGGGGGAAGAACACAGCACTAATACTTTCAGGACACAGATCTAGGCAGGCAAGAATTTGGATGTAAAAATTCAGTATTAGGGCCCTTTAATCAGCGTTTCTGATGTTAAGTAGGGTGATCTCACATTTATAAATGAGTACTGAAGGGAGGAAGGAGTTAAAAAAAAATAAATTACAGATCCGTCTGAATTTGGAGCTAGTCAGATCCAAGTCTTTGGCTGAGGCCATGAGCATTCTGCAATAAACCTTTGACAAGAAACCTTTCTATACCAACAGAGGTTTGATCCATATCAGGAACATAAAGATTCAAAAATACGTAAATAAAAAGGAATTCTTATGGAGGAATAATTTTTTAAAATGTCTTTTACTTCAGTCTTCAAAACTTTTAATCAATGCCAAAGCCCTACTCCAACACAAAGCAGTTGTTTGCTGTTAGTTCTGGCAGACAGATAACCATTACAACACTCATTTGCATGCTCATCTCCATCGCTCAAATATGCACCACATGCAGCCATTTACACCAGCGTTTGTGTTTCTGGGTTGTACGCTGCTCTCTCACAGGCGTGTAAGGAGAACGAGGTTCAGAACCGAGATGATAAACTGGCAGCAAGAGTGTTCCCAGTCCAGTCACAGGACAAATACAACTCGAACAACTTTCAGCTGAAGCAATTGCCTGCCTTTACTGCAGATCAGGATTAGCCCTGGCCCTACTTACTGTAGGCGTGCCATAGGCTGGTGATGCATGGGGGCTGATGGCATTAGTCAATTAAAATATTAGTAACTCCAGTGTCAATTAAAAAATATCTCTAGACCACCACAGAGTTTAATATGGTCTACACCAAGGTGTAAGATGAAATCAATATTGTAATGTTTTAGCTCACAGGTGCCACGGACTACTCCTGTCACACAAATCCATACAGGCCCTCTGCCTGCATGGAATTTTGTCCAGTGGCATGTCATATTTTGGTAATATTTCCTGGTTTTATCCTGTCTAAAAAACACACTGAGGATAATTCCAATTATTGATAGAAGATGTAGTTAGCACTCATCGTAACACTAAGATGAGTTTCTCATTAGCTCAGCAGTGTTAAAATTTCCATTCCATTACATGCACTGAAGCAGAAGGGGAACCCCTTTATATTTTAATATTAAGTGTATTCTAAAAATTACTTCTTCCCTGAGACATGATAGCACTAAAACCCATAAAGAGCACTCTATGCCTAAATTCATATTAAATAACCCAGTAGGCTAATTACACAAATGCTTTATTCTTCATATTAATCACAAAACGGAGAGGGGAACAAGGTTTGTGCTTTACCTATGTGCTGCAGAACCACAGCTGGGGCAATCCTATCCCAGAGCCTGACTGACACAAACAACCATACAGAGTTTTGCCATTTACGGTTCCAGCCACGGATGTGTTCAGTGTGCCCCACACTCAGACAGGATCCCCTCGGCTGTGTGCAGCACATCAGCCCTTTAATAAAAGCCTGCAGCAAATCAGCCCTTTAGTAAAAAGTACGGCTGCGCTGAACTTAGAAGCGCTCAGATCCACCCCCCCTTTGCTTCATGTGAAATAAAAGAAGTCCATTAGTTTTGAGAATGGAGAGAATGCTACAAAACTGAACTGCTCTGCTCCTTTCCTCAGGAAGACAAGGCATGCTGTCACACATTTAGTAACCAGCTCATTAAAGTTGCATCATCTTCACTTTGCTATGATTATGAAAGCAAAACACATACGAAACTTATTTTAACATCGATGCTTTTCTTTGAGCAAGCCAGTTAATACCTGTCGCAGGCTGATAGAATCGCAACTGCACTTCAGATCCGTTTAGTGCACTGCTAACAGCAAATACCAAATATCTTTTGCTCTTTGTATGTGCACTGCCAAACATTAAGGAAGGCTAAATAAGAACATTATTCTAGCATACTCTCATTCGGTGCAAGGAAAGCAGGTGCCACTTAAGAACATCATGCACAACAGCCATGTACATCTGATGGGTTTAGCAGTCTGGAATGGGGACAAAAGTGATGGGCCCCTACAATTCCATAGTCTCTTTTCTGGCAAACGTATATGCAAGTGTAGCCTGAGAAAGCAAAAGAACCATTATCAGTTAATGCATTAAGAAACAAAACACAAAGAAATAGATGATCAAACTCTTCAAGTGATTATTTAGGGGGCCTACCTTGAGACAGGTCAAGCACCTGAGAACTGGAAAACTACAGATGCTTCGATGCCTATGAAAATGGAGTCTTGAGCTTGACCTTAAAATTAGGGACACTTTTGAGAAACCATCTGCACGTGACTTTTCTAAACAAGAATCCAGGATCAGAACCATATTCTCAGTTCACAATGCCTCCATGGTCTCTTACAATAAAGGAAGGGCCATTGCTTACCCTCTGACACCCAGATTTTGTTAAGAGCCTAGGAGTAGCTTTGTAAGCGACGGTCCTGCAAAGTCCAGCTCTGGGGGTGGCACGTGAAATGGGCAGGTCTATGAATTAGGACTTCTGGCTTCCTGATAGCACAGTCAGTACTTTGGGCCACATGCTATTACATTAATAGCTGACAACCAGTTCCACTACAACATAAAAATGCAAAAGCTCGTAATGCAAATGCTCCGTTTAGCTTGGTCTATCTCAAAAGGGCAGCATCAACCCTTTCTGAAGATGGGGAGGCAAGCTTATTGTCATTACCTAGAAGACAACCTGCCCCAGATCCCATCTGACTCCAAGTAACTGAAGTAGCCTGACACTGAAAGGTTTTAATCTTGGTTGGGTTTTGCTCACTTGCTTTACAAGCTCATTTCTAAAACAACTCTAGAAACACTGACGATAATGGGATGACTCACTGAGCAAGAAACCATTCATCCTGAGGTGGAAGGAAGTGCCCGATCCTTTATTCATCTGGAACTAAACTTCAGGCCTGGCTTTCATTTCGGAGCTCAGATAGTCACATGTATACACACGGATAAAGGAGTATGGAACAGCAGACTGTTCATCCCGTAATTTGATGGCCCAGAAGTCTTAATTTCAATCTACTCTGTCTATACAGACTGCAAAGCCCATCAAAAATATCCCAGTGCCATTTCTGAGAAATAAGCAATGCAGGATGGGAGGGGAGATACGGAAAAGAGATACACGCAAGCCCAGCCTTTAATGCTTAACGGTTCTCACCTGGAATAACAGAGATAGTTTTCAAAGCTCGGAGAACTCTGAAAGTTCTCAATGCTGAGACATTCCCAAGGTCCACAAACTCTGTGACATATCTGCAATGAGGGAGGTCACACACAAAAAACACAATGACAATACACACACCAAAATAAAACAACAACTACAGACAAAGCAATACATCACTCACAGGGGCCTGTACCCAACAGCTAACACCAACCGGAGGCCGCCTTACCTGGAATTACAGAAATAGTTTTCAAAGCTCTCAGAACCCTGAAAGTGCGCAGAGCTGAAACATTGCCTAGGTTTACAAACTCTGTTATATACCTGCAGAATTAAACCAGAGTTAATGGCACCATTGGGGTCACCTTCCTTTTCATATAGTTGACTGTTTGTAGGAAACAGCTTGTAATTTAAAATGCTTTAGAATTGGCATTTAAAAGAGAGCGAGAGACAGAAAATTTCAGAGTCAAAACACAGTTTGAGTCTCTCCACACTGCAACCAGCTTGTCCAGGTGCACGGTTACATACTTGCATTCTCACCTATATAGGACTTGAAAATTTAACGCTATATTTACAGAAGAAGGTAATTGTAAAACTGCCAAATATGTGAGACTTAGTGACATCAGTTCAGTGGTTTCAGGTATATTTGCTTCACTTCATGTTTTTAATAAAGCATGATCATCTTTTGCTTTGATTAGCATCCTTCATTTAATCCTTTATGCTTTACTACCTGTTTGTGAGCCACAGGTAAGTATGATTATCCCCATTTTACAAGGGGGATAAACCTGAGATACACAGAGGATGAGAGGCTTAGTGCAAGGTTAACGGAGTTAAATTTTATCACAACTTAGAATAGAGTATTTCCTCCCTGCTGTCTGGGGAGAAACACGGTATGAAAAAGTGAAAAAATGCACAATATTCAAGATTCTTCCCAGTGCTGAAAGGCCACCTAAGTTCATAGAACTTAAACCCTATTAGTGGGATTTAAATAACGCACAGGGTTGCTCTAGCCCTTGACACAAAAAAGGATTGCATTTGAAGTCTACAGGCAACCTCACTGAAAATAAAGAGGTTACAGAGTTAGATCAGCTAGAGATTTAGCACGTTTATTTCAGACCAATGCATTGGGGCTTTCAAAGCTGGCATGCTGTTACTTGTTAATTTATCAAGAAACAAAGGAAATAACCAAATCACAGGTCAAATTTGATCTGTGTGCACAGAACTGGGAGCCTCACCCACACAGGCCCATTTACGCTGTTCACAGCAGATCTCCATCTATTCTAAAGTAAAACTGAAGCGTCAGTGAGCTACTGGTTATTTGCCTTTGTGTACAATGCCCAACTCTTTGCATATAATTTAAATACACAACTAAAAGGCAAGTAGAAAAAGATCAGAAATTCAGGAAAATCAGCAACCTTGGGTGCAGAATCCAGAAAAAAACCCCAGACAAACAAACAAAACAAAAGGCTTTTTATACAATTAAAGCATTTAACTACAATTAAATTCATGTGCTCTGAACCCTTGAAAATTAGGCTCCTGAGCATTCCTACATAATCCCTCAGTTTCCATCAGCCATTGTTGACTACGGGACCCCAAACATGCACACGTGCAATATTCCAAAAACAAATATAAAATGGAGAAAAAAAAAATCTCTTCCACCAGCGACTCAGACTACCAGTGACATACACCTGGTTTTTATCAGCGGCACTAAGCCTAAGCAACGATCAGCGCAGGCCAGTAAGGAAAAAACCAGAAATCTAGCGTGCATCTCCTGGTTCAGCTGTGAATTCAGACATCCCCATGAAGCCTCATTATCAGACCAATGTAAGCTGATCTGGCACAAGAGAAAAGAATGAGGAAGGAAAATAAAGCGTCTCCTTTTCTGCCACTGAACCTTAATTGAAATGGGTTAGTAACTGTTCAACCTTAAGCTGCATCCCAGGAAATTTTAACATGCAAGCCGAAGGAGGGAAGCAGTGGTAGAGACTAGAATTTAAAGACATTTGGCTCCTAGTCCTATGCTTATCAGAACAAGCTGCCACTCCAGCATGTGAACAATCTAAAATGCTAGGTACTATTATAAAGTCTTATATTAATAAAGGCAGTTTTCAGAAAATCGTATTTTTTGCCGCTAACTCCACGGTGTTGCATTTTGGATCTGTGACTCCATATCAGGCTAAAGCTTTCTTTTGAAGAACCAAGAAATCTTTGGGGGATTCATTTAAGTTTTCCTTGATTTATTTTTTCCTTACGCAACCACCCTCTTCCTAAGGTCTCATCCCCTCCCACATGCCACAAATACCTGAGATAATCTGAAAACACAACTTACGCCATCATGATCACACTGAAATCTAGCCAGTTCCATGGATCACGTAGGAAAGTAAAGCCATCTATACAGAAACCTCTTGCAATAATTTTCACAAGTGATTCAAATGTATAAATACCAGTGAATGTATACCTGTTATGAGGAAGAAAGAGAGCTGCACTGAGAAGTTTGTAGAAATGCCATGTAAGTCATGAAAAAAGATGAATTACAAACACTTTTGTCTAAACAAAGTGGATATAAAAGACAACTTGTATTCATGCTAATTTAAATGTGAGCAGGAACAGATTTCTCAATAGAACAAACCCAACATTCTGTGAGATTCTTAAAAACACAAGAAGCATTACTTACTCCACATTCTTCGACCATTCAGGTGGGTTACTAAAAGTCATGAATACACAGTTGGTCAAAATAGTGCACATAATGATCATGCTAAATACTGTAGAACAAAGTCAAGGATCAAAGGGACACTGGTGTGACTCTTTACATCACCTTATGGCTCCCTAAAGATCACTGTATTGCAGTAAAATTCAACACCAATTTCCAGTCTGTTCTCTGTGGACTACAAATAAGAGCCAAGATGCTTCCAGCAGTCATGGGAAGTAAGACCGGGATGACTATATATAAATAGTATTTTTACATCACCAGTCAATGTATTTAAATTTTCTGGTATGTCTTAGCAATTCAAAAATCGCATGCCTAAATGAAAATGTCTCCCAAAATAATTCCAGCTATTCAGTAACATCAAAATATACTGTCTACTAATATATCCAGCAAGAAAGCAGTGTTGCAATCCATGGACACCTAGGATTTAGCTTATCAAACTTTCCAAACATCTCTGCTCCCTCTGCGTGTTCAGGATCTTGTGTGTCACGTTTGCAGATGGAAGGTGCTGGACTAACGGATTTGAGCAGCGCTGTTGCAGGGACAGCACAGTTTCACAATCAGATGTTTGAGTGGATTTTAACTGCTGAATTATTAGCGGAATGGTGAAATCTAGGGTCAGATCCAAAGCTGTTCAACTTCCAAAACTGTTTAAGCAGAATCAAATGGATCTTAGATCAAGGCCCAAGACCCACTGCCAGCATCTCAGTCAACCTGACAGATCTGCATCTCTCAGCTGCATCCCAGCACACCCAGAGGGGAGGAAAGTCTTCAAGAAATAATACATAAGCCAAAGAAAACGTTCCCAGCCTCAGATCCCAAGTCAGCTTCGATAAGATGGAAAAGCTCTTTCTTCATATGAGATGCAGAAGGTAAATATGTAGAAGCCTCTAAAACACCAAATGAACATGTTTGTTTTGGAGTCACTTTCTAAAAATAAATAAATAAACAGGGCAAAGCAGCTCATTCAATATGCTACTATTATTTTTTTTTCCCCTCTCCTAATAGCACATGCAGATGATGTTTCTGAAGCTATCAGAGCTGCCTGAAGCCCTGCAGTGGAACATTTTGGAATAGCCTTGTCATTAGAAGGAAGTTTGAGAGATGCCAAAAGAGCAAGAAATTAGTCAGCGTCTAATCACATATAAGGTATCCTTGGCTCCTTCTCCAGATGCTAATTATATTTAACCATTTTAGCAGCTAGTTAAAGCTCAATGTGCAAATTTGAGTTAATGCTCAAAGCTCAATTCTCTTCATGTGCAGCATAACCTTACATCATATCTGTTCCAAAACTTATCAATGTCTGTGCACTGATGGAAGACTGGACCCAGATAGGTACAATTTATCAGGGAAAATAAATAGAATGTTCGCTTGATTGAATGTGTCTAAAGGACCATGCTTTTTCATTCAAAAAAAAGCAAGTTTTTGTGTATGCACTGAGGTCAATCCAACTTCACCCAGTGCAGAACTGTAATTCATATACACTATTTGAATTGAGCAATAAGACAATAGGTAAGAGATTTTTCAATGAATATACAAAGGCAAAAATAACTCAGTAATAAAAAGGATATGAATGTATCAAAATTTTAATAGCTATTCTTCTAAACAGATTAAAAGGACTTAAAATGTACAAGGCAGGTGTGGCACTAAATCGGAAGAGTGTTTTCCCTCTGTTTAGTACTACAAAGGTCTGCAGAGAAACAAAGAAAGAAAGAAAAAGAGAGAGAGAGAGAGAGAGTTAATGCATGAAAATCAATGCATGAATTGCACAAAAGACGACGAACAACTTCCATGGTAAAAAACAGCATTTTCTGCTTTTTTAAAGAATAAACTCCTTTATGAAGTTCTATTAGGGTAAAACATACCTACCAGTACATCATGAATAATTCTACTCCAAACCATCCATTTTACCAGGCACCTCAGACAGAGCAGAAGCAAAATCTCCCATCCAAGAGCGCACATTTTCATCACGCCAGAATAGAAGCACTATTATCCCCAGCTAATAGATAAGAACTGAGGCCCAAAGCAACTGAGGACCACAAATTCAGGAGCAGAATTGGCAGCTGAACCCAGACTTCACGCCATTGCCCAGCGCACAAGACCATCTTTACGGCACAGTGTTTGCGTAGCCTGTGCCACCTTCCCAACCCTCACTAACAGCTATCATGACCAATTGCTTTTTTTACAAGACAGCACCTCACCTGCAAAGAAAGATTGACAGGTAAGCAGAAAGAAAATGTCACAGCAGAGTCCCCCAGCCCAGCAGACACAAGTCAGATACCCATCGCCCCCACTCATCGGCAATTCTGAGCACATTCCATGTTGGTGCACCAACTCCAGGCAGAGTCATGTGCTCTCATTGCCTTTAATTAGCAAGACGTTGAGGTTTGCTACTTTATACAGAACCTGTGGAATGAATCATGTAAACGTGAGGCAGAATCGATCTCATCTCTCCATCACCAGCCTTAAAATACAGACCCGCTATTTCATCTCCTCGCTAGCGAACATGCATATCAAAAAACACCAGGAGAATCACACGCAGCCATCTGGAGAGGCAAAATTAGAACTGTGGTTGCTTAATACCAGCACACTCAATGCACCTACCACTTGACTTGAAGGAAAAAAAAAAAAAAAAAAAAAAAAAAAAAGCAATTTGTGTGCACTGAAAAGCCAAAGCCCTTTCCCCGGCACCGTTTTCCCGTTTTCCATTCCCTCCGGGATGGCGCAGCCCCGGCGAGGCGGGGTGAACCCCCGAGCGCCGCAGGGGGACGGAGCGAAGCCGGACTCGCCGCAGGCTCGTTCCCCGGCACCAGCCCCCCGTTTGGCACAGCCCCGAGCCTCCCGGAGTCCAACACGAGGGAATCCACAAGGGCTTTCTGCCAACGCAGTCACTGTGCTTCCCCAGGAGACTCACTCTTATGAAATTTGTCATTTCCCTCCTAGTAAGTGAAACAACGTATTTTAGCTCATTTGGCTAAATTAGACCATTGAGCAGTAAATTATTTGAAAAGGAAATCAAAATCAGATTGTGGTTCAGCACGGAGTGAGAAAGATTAGTTATCATAACCACTAATGCACCTCCCAACGAAAGCATTTTAAAGACAACCCTGGACAGCTCTTAAATTGAAGCATCAAGAATTAATGAACGGGTTACCTTGGCATGTAACAATATTCTAAAAGGCCCCAAGTTTTTCAAACTTGCTGATTACGGAGTGGTCAAGGGACACCTGATTTTAAGAACCAGCCGTCTCTCCTTCCCTGACACCACACACTTTCCAAGCCTCACAGACCATTCATTTTTAAATCTTCTTTCACTGTCCTCTGCAGAGGCTTCGGAGCAGGATGCCCATCACACTGGGATGCTTCAGTTGTATCCCCAGCACAACACTGAGCTCTCAACTCTACCACAACTTTTAAGCAATGAAATCTCCGATGTGACTGTACTGAACATTCTGTGGGCACAAGGCGAGCTGGACAAAGACAGAAATTCCCCCCAAACCACGCAGCGGTTCGGTGGCTCAGTTTTTCACTATGCCTCCATTTGTACATGGGAAAAAGCACTGCGCAGGAGCCCGGGGGTTTGCTCAGATGCAGCTCAGCAAGCCAGAAGTAAAACCGATCTTCCCGTGGAGACGCAGGCGTGTGCATGCTGCTTCACAGATGCAAACCAGCCCGGGGGCTTCAGACCTGTACTAGCAGGGCAAGCCAGCCTCAGGCGGGGAAGGAGGATGCAAACTGCTTTCTGTGGAGGGTCAGACACTGTTTGCCTTGGCACGCTGGGGTGATTACATGGGAACATGCATTTTCAATAGCTGTTTCACAGAGGATCAACCCAGAAATTTGGCATTCCCTGTCGTCATACAAGCTGTTTCATCCAGTGGTCAGGGCAATCACCTACCAAACACGAACTCCACATTCTGCTCGTCAGCTCAGTCCTTCATCCGCTATATGACCTGACATAGCAGGTCCTTGTTTTCTCTTCCATGCTCTGCCCAGCTTTCTCTTTTTAGACCATAATGCTCGTTGAAATCATTGCTGTCTGAAAAGCCCATCATAACTGGGCCTCTCAGTACAACCGTAACACAAACAAGGTGCCGTACATTCCAGTCTGCTCATCGGTTCTGATGGTTCCAAGAGCTGTTGCTCCAGTTCCCTGTGTACCTTATAAAATCCTGGGTAAATCTCTGCTTGGCCTTGTTGATAGAAAGAAGAGCACAAAAGCCAAAAAGGGTTTGGCAATTTAAAACCTTATCTTGGTTTTTCTTTATGCTGCTGACATATTAAAACTCAATTTCAAAATGGCTGCACGCTCTTAAAATGTTTGCTGGTTCAGGTCCAAGAACATCCTTAAGCCCTTTTAAGATCTGCTGAGGCAAAGCTCAAAACTCAGAGAAAGGTGATACCTGGAGAAAGGCATTTTGCAGTCTTCTTCTAAGACGTGAAGTCTGGCTCAGTTTGTTGTTAGAGAGTTGTGAAAAAGGCTCTGTCCACTTCAATTTTCTCCAAGTTGGCTAGGAATCTACATTTCACAGAAACCTTAGAAACAGTTCTCATATAAAAAGAAGTAAGATTACAAAAGATAATTCTTCTCTAAATCAATTCAGAATATAGTGCATTAAAGAAGCTATGATGGAGAGCATGACAGAATTGATCAAGTGATGGCAAAAAGCATTCCAGTGGTCTGAAGATTTAAAATACCCTTGCTTCATGCAGGTTTTACATTAAGCATTTCTGTAATGGCTGAAAAGTGAGGAGGAGTGGGCAGAAGATTTAAGAAGAAAACAGCTTTATGAACAGCCTAAGAACATATGGAACCATATTCCTGCAGCGGTAACATGATGCCTGCCTTACTCTCAATGTAAGAGAGCGACGACTTTCTGATGACACCCTGAGCAAGTTACTTTAACATAGCTATTTTCAAAATTAATTTACAGGGAACTCTGGCACCCTGTAGGCTGAAGAAGTATATACAGAATTAAACGTCAACTTAAAATATTTTTCAAGTCTGTTTTGGCTCATAGAGGTGTACTTCCTAATACAGAAATCACATTATTGAATATTTACTTTTCCGTCCCCCCCAAAGGGGAGAAATTTATTCTTTCTTAGTAACTTATTCTTCATCACTGAAAAGATTAGGGGGGGAAAAAAGTATCTGCCACACTTTGCTCTGGCTTTAGTCTCTTGTTTCAAGCTCAACATAGGAAAAAAAAACCATGACATTTTTTGAAATGTATCAAATAAAATATTGCTGAAAGATATATTTAAAAAAATATTGTTCAACGTGCGATATTGAGAAACTGATCCGGATTTAAGTTTTAACGACATCACAATCTGCCTACGTCAGGAAATCCACTCTGCCTCAGAAGTGGAAATGATTCTCCTTCCTCCCGCCCCTCACCAGTGGGTTGCAGCTATCGAGGCGGCCGCAGCGGAGATCCCCTCGCTCCCGGCCCGTGCCACTCCCCGAGCACAGCCTGAAAGCTCCGCGTGCTACCGCAACGCTCGGGACTGGATGGGAGCAGCACCGTTAGCTGTCGTCTCATGAAAAGCCGTACAACCGCAACAGCTCCGTTACACTTTGCCTTCCACCCAACACCCAGAAAGGTCTGACAGGGATTACACTCTCCTTTCCTCATTCATTCTACCACGGCAGCAGGGAGGAGAGCTAGGAAGGGCACGCTTACTTTTCCTGCTCTTTTTAAGCCTACTGGAGAGATGGGGTGGAAGAGAAAATAACATTAAACATGCAAGACCTGGAAAAGGCTTTTGGAAATAAGGAGAAACGGCTGATTTTTGAGATGGCCTCAAGTCTTCCCTATGCTCCAGCGTCTTCACTGAAATGCAAACCCCATTAACGGAATCGTGACCTTGTTGGGCCATTACCTCACCCTGCAGCGGGCGTAAGCGAAGGCTCCTTGAAGCGCATGCTAGAGCCAGCCATGCCTCCCCGCTAGCTGGTCTCTCACATCCCTCTGCTTTTCCCAGGTCCACGCAGTCAAGGTGACATTCTGGACTGGAGGGCCCATTTCCAAACCGTGCATGTGACCTGATGAAGTTGCAAGTCATTCTGTTGGCACACACGCACTAGGAAGATCCTCAGGTGCTCATCTGCAAACTTTAGGTGACCTCAGACAATCCCACTCTAGCCTCAGATGTTCACAGATGTATAGACAGTCTTCTACAACTGCAGGGTTGATTTTTCCAATTGAAATCAGTCCACCTAAGCTTATACGTGGTCTCAATTCCCAGAACATTCAGGGACCTTCTACTGCCTTGTAAATGGAGCCATTGCAGGAGCATTAGCACCTTCACCATGTTCAGCAGCAAGTATGAGTTTCGTACTGGATGAAATGGAAAATGACCAAAACGTGGCAAAACTGACATCCAATGGGAAAGAACAGGTCAATGAGTTGTTCAGTAGGAGTGATAGCCTAGGTCATAAATGGAAGAGAAGGAAAGAGAGGGCTACAAGATGGAAAAACACTAAAAAACCAAGAAACACTAACAAGATTGTGGAAATAAAGAGGATGGTGGTCCTCACCTCTTGCTTAAGAAAACACTGAAGGAGACTAGACCAGGAGGCAATCGGCTGCTTTGCTTTCATTGCTAGGCATGCTCACATAGGTAGCTTTCCTGAATTTTGTTTGCACATGTAAACAAGGAAGCTCATGTACCTGCCTTTTGTTTTTTTTAATTGAAATGTTTCGGGTTTCCACAACAAATATCATGGGCAAGTATTGCTTTTACCACGTGCTTCAGGCCAGGAATTGGACAGCGATTACTATTTTCAAAACAAAGAATCATGACAAAATTCTCTCTGGTACTTACCTAAAGACACAAAGGATCTACAATAGCTCCCAAATCTGCTACCTGTGAGCAAAGGAACTTTCCTGATTCTCTTAAGAGTCATTATTGCAAGATGAAACTGAGCAAAGAGAAGTAGCTTGGACAAAACCATCACTCGCAGGGCTGCGCTCTGAACCCGGGAGTTTTGACTCCCTGTACCATGGTTCTGTTTCTAGGTCACACCGTTTCTCCTTTAAATATCAGTTAACAGCCCACTGGAAAGTTCAGCTTCTCTGTTAAAATGCAGTTTCAGTTTCCTTAGATAAACCAAGATCACTGTGTCCTACTGCAAGGAAAAGCAACCAGCTGATTTGTTCCTATGCATGCTGCATGTCTAGCTTTAAAAGAAAAGACCTATGATGCAAAGCCTTCTGGCAAATGCTGGAGAGGGAAGAAAAAAAAAAAAAATCTTGGAAAACTTCCCGTGATTCAAGCAGATTCGCAATTCCTGATGATTCAGAGAAGGGCCTTTTTTAATGGCCTTAAAAAAAATTCTTTGTGGGAAGTCACTGACTATTTGAAGCAGCAAAGAAGCAGCACACACCTAAGCTATTGCCATACCAAAGCGGATGCAAAAGAAACAGAGCCAGTAAAATGTTAATCCAGGGTTTGTGGGAAGAGCAAGGCCCTTTTCACAGAACAGCAAGTATGAGGTTGGCAGGGCCGTGCGAGTGTGTCTCCCATCTCCAGAACCTTCCCCCCTGCCTGCAGCTGCTCCAGCTCCGCGGAGAGCTCGCATCTTCGCGTGGCAGGCACACCGAGCGGCTGCGCGCAGAAACGTACGGCGCTCTTCTGGAGACACGGCAGATGCCTTCAAAGTTGGCAATGTGGCTTATTTTTCTCTAAAAAATGAAAGGTTTATTAATAGTGTTGTGTTGGGAGGCAAATATGGAGACTGATAAAGCATGAGGGCTAACGGGGTTCCCCTCTGCCTCCTACTTCTGGTGGAACACTGAGACAACCAAGAAGCCTTTGCCCGATGCTCCAGGACACGGCAGTGCCCACTGCCCTTTCAGCACGCCTCTTCTGGTTTAGCCAGAAAGAACATGGCCCACTTCTCCCCCACACACTCTCCGTTCAACTACATGAACACAAAGAGGGCACAAAACACCCCTGCTTGGATTTGCGGTGACATTTCATAACACCTACTTTGGTTGGGTGCAAGTGGCCACACACAACCAAGTAGATCCCGGGAACTGCTCTTCAGCTACATCTCTTTTTCACAGTCTGCCCACACCAAAACCAGGCAACACCAGATTTGTTGAATAAAGAGAAAATATTTCTGAGGGATACGTAAGCTACCTTTTGACCAGCAACAGCAGCTATCAGTACATTCCTTTAAGTACAGCATCCACCTGAACACCAGTCTGCCTGCTAGTCAAAACATACACAAACCACTGTATTTTAAACCCCTGTTGAGTTGGTCCCTGTACTCCACACCAAATAAGCATTAAATTCACCATTGTAGATGTAGAAAAGAATGATCAGTTATACCCAGCGTTAGCAGGAAGTTCAGTTATTTCATGTGAATAATGCCTTGCCAGTCACAAAATCACTTCTGAGTGTGGCAAGAGATGTCTGCACCAATACAAAGTCATCAAACATTTTGTTACCCATGACAACTTACTGATTTTACACGACAGCCGTTCTACCCAAGTTTTGAATGGTCACATCACAACTGTTGTCACATACACAGTCAAACCTCCAGCTTCTCAAGTGGCACAGCTAAGCCTGAGTTACAGAGGGTAATTATCTCAACTTATTCAAATTAAATTTTTATCAAAGAAAGCAATGAAATTAAACAGTAGAAAAGAACCTCAGTTTTAAGTCATCTAGTTCTAAGAAAATCAGTGATCACGCTCTTCCTTATTTCACCAGTAGAAGATCCCTCCCCTCCATTTCCAGAAGTGCTTGCTTATTCACCACCTCCCTCACGACAACACTTCATTGCTTAATACATCTCAGCACCCAAAAATGCCTCCTGCCATATCACCTTAATTCCACAGACAAATATTTTAAAAATAAAAATTATGAAGATGAAAGCAAGTTAATTAGTTTATCTCACTTCTTTTCTGTCGTGACTGTATATCCCACTGCTTCATAACGATCAAATTCAGACGGAATTCCATGCAAGTAATGAAACACACACCTAAAACTATTACCATTACCCCTCAATTAATTCTTCTTATTGCCCTCATGGTTAAAATTGGCACATTAGCACAACTTTATCTATTTTTAGTTTCCAGACCTTGTTCTCTTAACTCCATCCAAGCAGGTGCTTAAAGGTTGATCGTACAATCTCTGTTAAACCTCAAAGAAAAATATATAACAAACCAAACAAACAAGCCCCATCCAAGGACTCCATTCTTTGTCTTCTACTTAAACCATACCCAAACCTGCAATTTCCTAAGATAAAAGGTGCTTTTAGTGACTTCCTTCTTGCAGACTCACTTTCTGGGTCATATAATAAGGGTCAAAGTCCTCCAGTGGTACAGCAACCAGGCCTTTTGGGATGTCCCCGTAGATGAAAGGCAAATTCTTCCCCGCCTCAAGGTCACTGTTTGGTTTTGGTTTGCTGTCTTCATCGTCATCCCGATGGCTGCTGTCTTGCTTTGGACGCTGCTTCTTTTTTAATTCTGCAATGTGTTTCTCAATGTTAGCCAGAGACTCCGGTGTGAAGGGTTTAAAACTATCAGGGCCTGGTGGTGCGAGCAGCCGTGCTGCCATCTTTTCATCCTGCAGCAGCTTCTTTAGTGATGTTGCACCCCGGACAGGTCAGCTCTGCAGGGGAGCAAACAGCACAGCAGAACAAAGTCAGTCACTGCACAGACAGACAGACAGACAAGCACACAGCACTGAAGATCCAAAGGCAACTCTGGTCTTCAAGTCCTCACAGCGTGAGGGAGGCAGACCTGCTGCTTTTCGGTCCCAATGCAAGCTAGAGGCAGATGGGCATCGAGTGCGGGACCCTGGGGGAACCTGCCCGTCCCTGCCCACCCCCATCACTTCGCCCAGGTTTTTCGGCCCGGGCAGAACCGGCACGTGGACCCGGATCTCCAACAGCCGCCCTGATTTGGGTGGCTCCTCAACACAAACTCTGTTCCAGACTACAGCAACCATTCTGAAAAGCGACTTCCTCAAACATATTATTTTCCCGCAAAAATGACTCGACCAGTCATCGCTCTCTAGCAGACTGATCATTAGACAAAAATTCCAAGTCAGCTCTATTCCCAGGGTCGGGACGAGGTGTTCAGCCTTGTCTAAAAAGGGCTGAGTATTAGCACATTCCTTCCCCTGCTAACACTCCCCTCAATACAACACAAAGGAGGAGTAACTTGGGGCTGGGGTTTATGAGAGCGTGCTGTGGCCAACATGCATGGAATGCACTGAGCCCTTCTGAAAAAAAAAAAAAAAAAAAAAAAAAAAGGCTCCTTCATGTCCTACCAGATATTACTGGAGTTAATGAGAAGTTTCCTTAATGAGTCCAGCATGCCCTGGGACAGGTGTGCCAGGGCGCACTCTGAACGCTTCCTTAGGTAGGGCCAAGACCACAGTGGGCTCACCTCTTCCTATGCCGGAGCACACCACACCTCTACTACAGGGAGTCAAATCTCACTCTTTCATTTTATATATACGTATATATATATATGTATGTGTGTATATATATATAATTACCAGGGTTTCCAATCATTTCAAGCCCTAAGAACTAAATAATTTTAAAAGACTTTCAACTACAATAGTAATTTCTGAAAGTTAAATTTCTGTAATATGCGGGTTAGACAGAGTCTTCTTTGCATCAGATGCAATGCAAATGAGCACTTCTCCATGATAAAAAGAGAAGAAAAGGGAAGCAGACGTGGTACAGAAGCACAGCTGAGAAAGACCTCGCAGAGCTTCCAACCTGCAAAGGAGCACAGACCTCTGACAGGATTTTACACTGTCCCTACGAAGAGCACTTCTCCATCTTCCCCCCACTCCTACAAAAGAAGCGCTGCGAGGAAGTTCATTTCTCTGAGTCCAGCCGCCTACAAACCCTCTGCAGCTTTGCACCTTTTGCCAAGCTCTTGCTCAAGAACCAGCAACCAGACTATGTTGCATTTCTGAGCTACTGGTACCTCTTCAAGCTTTTCACACTCCAGGAGGAGGCCAAGAGAGGAGAGGATTTACAGAAACGCTGCACTGATGCAACAGCACTGCAGTACTGCAGGCTGGAATACAACCCAGCCCTGACATGGCTTGGCACTTCAGGGAGGAACCCGAACACCCAAGTGGCGTTGAATTCAAGAGGAAAGGCAAAATAACTATGAGTATACAACACAGAAAGAATCGAAAAGCTGTACAGCTCAGGTCTCTTAAGTAAGGAAAAAGATCATCAGTAAGGTCAGATCTTTTAAGCTAACATACGCACAGCATCAAAATATAAATAAAGATTTAGAATCTCCAAAAGAAGAATGACTTTCCAATTCCTCAAAAACTATGCTATAGGACTGAATGGTTACAAATCAGCTCTTTTCACCTGATGTTAGTTAGCCACCACTGGTCTTTACAGCCCTTGGCTTTGAAGACTGTATTCATGTGGGAAGAGTTCACCGAAGGCAGAGACATCACCGAACCGAAGGCAGGCTCCCACCCGACAGGACGAGCTGGGACACATTTGCAATGGGCACGCTCCGAAACCAGGAACCACAACTTTCTATGGATTGCAGTGGACTTCATCAATAAACACAGCACAGAAATAAAGGAGCCCTTTTTTAAAAAAAATACCTGGAGATCCCAGCATTTAATATAGTACCTGGGGTACTTCCAAAAGCCAGAATATCTAGTGCAAAGTATCCTTCCAAGTGATTTCAGGTTATTCCTTGCCACTCTTCACTCTGATTCACGTGCAAATCTAAACCTGCACCACACACTTAGAACGTAATCAAATGCTCTTTCTGTCTCAGGTTTTATTTGGAGATCCAAAAGTACAGATCTCCCTCCTTATGTAACCACACAGCGTAGCCTGAGCTGGGATTCTTTTCGTATAAACTTGACCAGGTATTTCTAGAGTAATAATAAAGACACAAAAAAGATGGCAAGAAAGGGAGAAAAAAAGACGGTATCTTGGTCACATTTTCTCCAAAAACATCACAGAATAGCCTGCTGATATTAAGGAAAAATTAATTTATTCTATTCTTGCAGCATTTGCATGCATTTAATTACCAAATTTCCCACATACTGTGAAACTATATAGCAGCGTTGGGGATGTGGTCTAATTGAATGGCACAGATAAATATGTAAGGCCTGAATTTAGAAACCAAAGTAGCTCAGGGACACAGCATAAAAAAGGGAAAAAAATGAAGGCACAAATGAATGCCTGATTTGTATGCACAATTACGCAACCAGCAACTGGAAGCAACCAACTAATCTGCTAAGTGGCCCTTCAAAAAACCAAACCAAACCAACAGAAAACGCAACCACCACCACCTTCCCCCACCTCTGGCACAACATTGCACATCACAGCAGTTGTGCAAAGATCCTGCCCACTAACGAACCCAGAGACACCCTGGTGCTGTGCCGATACACCGGGGTACAAGTTTGCCTCGTGCTACTTGTTCTCATTGTGTTCACGCACGGTGCAGACTGTTTGGCTGCCGAAGGGACAAGAAGCAATTGCTTTTGTCTCAGCATTTGGTACTTACTCTAAGGGCTGGCACTTGTTTGATGTCACTACGTAACAGTGACCGGGGGCTTTCATTTTATGGGATGTTCTTGACTGTCCTGACTTCATTTGTTTCCCCAGTAAATTATCCCACATTAAGATAATGGACAAAATTAGGATGTAAACTGAAAGGACGGGAATGGAATGTTTATTTAATTCCTTACATCAGACCTGTATAGTAGTTTTTGAATCTTGGCTAGCATAGCATTACATGTTCTTACAATGATGAGCCACACTCTGCAGCTCCCACAGCCAACCCCTAATCTTTACCTTTACTCAGCACCACAGACATAACTACCCAGGGTATTTCAGAGAGCTAGTTTTACTTAAAACTCCAAACAACAGACAAATAGCTTGGAACGCCTCAGCTACACAGCCCCACCACATCCTCCAGGCTCAAGGGACCCTGCAGAGCAGGCTCCATTCCTGCAACCAACGCACCTGCAGCCCCTTCCACTAGTGAGGAGCAGCGGTAAAAACTGGAAGTGTGGAGCACTCCAGTCGTTATTGAAGTTAAAAATAGTGAGAGTATCAAGGATTTCCACTTTCAAGATTCACCGTTTTTCTCAGGTAGAAAGAAAACCTCAATAACAACCAAAAATTTTCAGGTGAGGATACAATAATATTTCTTAAGCATCTGTCAGTGTTCACCAAGGAGGGGTTTTTCAGTATTCGTTGAAGGAAGAGAATGAGTTGAGAGTGCACGATCAAATGCCAAAAACCGATAAAAAAAAATTCCCCTCAGCCCAGCCAAACAGAACCAGGGTGTCAGCACCTCTGCTTCTTGGGGGAACTCAGGCTCCAACCTGCCTATTTCGGTAAAACTTTCTGCTGCAGGGGCCTGGGTGGGAAGCACGACAAAGAGGGTGAGCGGGTTTTCATTCCTTTCCCTTTTTGTGCATTTCAATTAGTTACTAGAGGCTATTGGAAAAACATCAAGCATTATCTAATGATTTGATTTTTTAAAATAAAAGCACTAAAGACCTTTACTAAAATCAGTCCTTATCCACATGTTGACTGAATGAACAAATATTAAATTATTTTCATCCTGAAGACCTCAGGATTTAAGTTTAAAAAGTTTCTCTGCAGAGAGAAACATAGAAAGGGAAAATAATTTGCCCAAGGTCACCTGGAAATCAGTGGGAGGAAGCTGATCACAAGCCCTGGGACTCTCCCAGGCTACAATGCTATTAATAATGGGCCCTATATAACAGCCACCTTCTTTAATAATGTCTCCAGCCACCAGAAGCCTCTGCACCCAGTGCAGCCAGCTTTGCACCTGAGAAAGTCTCACAAGTACCCGTTCTAGAAGAGCTGCGGGGCTCATCCTCATTTTCGTCGATAAAGACCCTTCCACAATGGCACATCTGCTCTGCGAAGCACAGCCGGGGCTGCTCTGCATGGCGAGCTTCTTTAGACTAAAAAGCTTGCACATTTTATTTTACAACTGAGTATGGTCTTGCTGGGTTACACAGAAATTGGTAAGAATAAATGCTAGAATTTATTTTGGCACTTTCCACATGTGATTCTTCAAGCTCTGACGAGAGAAAGATGTTGAAAATTGTGACCAAGTCACCATCCAGGCAGAGTTGGAAAAGAGGGGACGTGCTTTACCGAGCTACGGACAACTGCATCAGGAACGACACTGCGCTGCTGGGGACCAGCAGTGCCACTCCCCGTGACTTCAGGGGAGTCCAGAATTTGTTCTGGGCTCCTGGAGTTCGGCGCACAGAACTTCCCGGGGCCAGATTGCAGTGTCACACACACATTTTTCAAAGATCAAAGATTTTACACCAGAAAAAATGCTGCACTGAGGTGCCCAGTTGCTAAGACTTAATTATTTTTTTCTAAATGCTCCCAGCAGTCCATTTACTGGTACATTATGCAATAATCTATTAAATTATTCAAGATGATTGTCAAAATAAATTAAAAAACACTTCTGAGACAATATCTTCGCTTTAATACATTTTCTTCATTTATTAATTCGCAAGATGCAGTCATTCACTGTGCGTCTTTCAGTTCCTTCAAGAGAGAGCCCTTCTATTTGAGTTTTTATATAACCCATGCAGACACACGTGGC